GTGTGACTTTGGGATAGTAACTTAAACTCGGAGCCTCAGTTTTCCTCATCTGTCTTATGACTTGTTGGAAGGACATATGGAAAAGCATTCTTCCTTCCATCTTTATTCTGGTAATGGAGCCTTGGCTAAGGAGATAAACACTTAAACTCAGCAGCTCTCCCCGGTAACATGAACAGGCTGCACAAATGTGACTCTCCAGGGAGCTCAGAGGGGAGGCATGTTCCTGCTGTCCACATTGGCTCTAGGTTTGGCCTGGATACTGAGGGTCACAGGAGAGAATGGCTGCAGATTTCCTGATTCATAGGGAGCACTGAGTTGGGAGTCCTGTTGTCCACTAGGACAACACCTCCTGACACAGTGGTCCTCACCCTTGGGGGTACCTCACAGCTCTCTGCAGGGCTTATTAAAACACAGTGCTGGATTCCATGTCCATAGTGTCTAATTCAGGGGGCTGGAGAATTTGCATTTCTAATAGCAGTGATGCTGATCTGCTGGTCTCCAGGCCAGCCTAAGGACCACCGCCCTAGAGAAAAGTTCCCTAACTCTAGTGGCTGAGCTTTCAAGCCTGCCAATTCCTACCCATTTTCCTGGGGGAAATGGGAGTAGGAGTAGGAGTGTCTTGGTATGTGTGTGAGGAAGACACAAACACTAAGACCCTGTGGTCAGTACAGCTTAGGAGATGCACAAAAAGTTGTTTAGTGAAGGTGGGAAGATACTGACAACCCCTCCCAACTCCTACCTGCTAGTTGCTTCACATATTAGTTTTCTATAATTGTAGTAACAAATTACGAGAGAGAAAATGGCTAATGTTCAAATTAGAGTCAAGGAGGCTACAGTGTAGACATCAACCTCCAGACCAGTGAGAATAAGATTCTACAAGCTCAACTAAATTTCCTTGCCTCTCTTGCTTATGGCTGACTAGTAGCTGCTGGCCCTGTCCTATCAGGCTGCTAGCTTTTGGTAAACTGCAGGGGCCTCTGGTGACACATACTGACAATTAATATTGAATATACAACTCAAGCAGGGTCACACTGAATCACGCTGGCCAACACAGGGATGAATAAGTGCCCAATGTGCCAGTCACCATGATGGCCCAGAGGGCTTTCTGGTCATTTTCAAGCCAGGAGCAAATTCTCATTCATGCAGCCGGAGAAAAGGTCCTTTCTAGAAATGCTGTTTTAAACTTCTAAGATGGAGAATTGAGACCCACAAAATGCAAATGACATGCTCAAGACCACAAAACCAGAAGCTGCTCTCCCAATTCCCAATCTGAGGTTCACCCCACTAAATAATTTTGTACTCCTCCAGAACTGTGACAATTATCTCAAATCCATCCAAGGTCCCTTTTGATCACAAACATTATAAAAACTGAATTGCAGCAGAGAGAAATAGCAGAGCAGCAAGGCAAGGTGATATCCTTAAACTGCCTCTAACAAAGAAACCTACATCTTGGAAAAGCCAAGGGTGGGAGGGACTTCCTTGTTGTAGTCTGTTAGAATTCATTGAGCATTCTGTGCTGTCTCTAACCAGTTCCAAGGTCAAGAGAAACATCAGAAAATATGTGTGTGTGTCAGAGGACATTATTCAGAGATTAGTCCCCTGGAGTGATCTGGGCTAGATTTCCGCTTCCAGAACAACCGTTGGAAAGTCCTCAACGAGTTAGTGCACTGGTCTCCAACATACTTCACTGAAGTTCAAATGGAAATCTAGGGGCAGGGAGCTTGCTAGAAGAGCCCTCTTGCAGTGACTGAGCAGCTGACTATAGAAAAATACAAATGTGAAAGCAGGGCTAATATGATTATAACAAATTGCCTAGGAAAAAAATCTGAAAATATTCAAGCTGGGAAGAACCTTCTTTATCTTTCTAATTCAATCTCCTCTTTGACGATATGGAAACTGAAGTGATGTGGAAACTGAGGTCCAGAAAAGTGGAGTGCCTTTTTAAAGGTCACCCACTGTGTCTGTGCCAGAAGAGAGATTATATTCCTGCCTCTACTCTTCCCAAAAGACACCATGATAGCCCAGCTAGCTAAGAAAGACAAAAGCGGTCCAAAGACAAATCTCAACAGCTTTGAGACAATCTACTGGGTAAATCTGTCTTAAGACACAGAGTTCCAAAACTTTAAAATAGCATAACTAGAATTCTCTTGATAAAGGCTTTGCTAAGGGCCAATAAACTTTTTCACTGGGCACCAGTGCCAGTAACATTGACATGTCAGCCAAAAGCTTTCCAATTTGCAAACGTGTATGCCAGAATGATGTCATTAACTATGACTTCAGGAGGGACTTACATTTCCTTTGAACATTTTAATTACAAAGATTGACTAAGTGGTTTGAAACAGCCATTTAAATTTTAGAGACAGATAAAATACATTAGGGGGACAAAGAAATCTGTCTTATAAATAGCCTAGAAAAATCTTTTGCAAAACAAACACTTTCAATGGGGAGAAGTAAACTCAAGACAATGGAACAGCATGTTGCTATTACAATTGGTATTTATAGAGTATGCAGTAATACAGGAAAAATATTTGAGTTATTACTCTGAAAAAAAAAAATCAGAATACAAAAAATACATATAAACAGAAAACCCCTACAATGTAGAAAAAATTTTTTATGAGATTATACATAGAAACACCAGGGTTCAACATGGGTGATGGGACCATGGATTTTTTTCTCCTGCCATTACCAAGTATTTTCTGAATTGCACATAATTAACAATAAATCCCAATTTTAAAAACAAAAACACTGCAAAATCCAGTTGAGATTTTTGCATAGAGCAAATTCAAGGAGTATGTAAGAGAGTATGCTGGAACACTGTGAGTGGAGTATGTCAGCATCAGGTCAGACTCAGACTTTTCATCGCTCCTTACCAGCAAACTTGATAATGCTGCCCCAAAATTCTTTTCAAATAACAATTTATAACCACTGACTATATAATATTTGACCCACTGAAAAACACCCACCTTGGCTCCCAAAGAAGCCCTGAGAATATTGTGTGTGTGTGCTTAGTCACTTAGTCGTGTCCGACTCTTGCGACCCCATAGACTGTAGCCTGCCAGGCTCCTCTGTCCATGGAATTCTCCAGGCAGAAATACTGGAGTGAGTTGCCATTTCCTTCTCCAGAATACAACCGGTGCTGAAACAAGCTGATGAATAATTTTTAGCCCGTTCACACACCTGCCTGTGAGGTTCTGGGATACTAGTCCCGTAACTACTTGGGTTTTGGCAGATGAGACAGGCCAAATTTTTATTTCGCTTCTATTTAATAAAATTTTAAGAAAAAGAAAGAAGGTAATTGATGCCCTTAGGCTGGGCTTAATCTGGCAAAGTAATTCCTGATAAAACCTAGGATTTTCCTAAGCCCCTCCAACCATGATTTCTTAAGAGTATGTTAGCATTTGTCAAGCCCTTTCAGGAAACTGATACCTTCAGCATGTAAGAGCCATGTTTTGACCAGAGCTCTGCCTCTTATTCTCTTGCAAGAAAGAGAATAGCAAACAGCATCAGACATTGCTTTTAATGTCAGTAAGCTTCACCACAGCACTAGAGAACAGAATGGGTATGCAGGAAGACAAAAAACAAGGAAAAGGTATGTCCCCAGGCTTCTTTTTTGTAGCAACTACACAGGCTTCGGTTGAATAACAAATTGTCCTGGAATTCTTGGCATTGGAGCAAACATGTCAGCTCCCTGGTTACGCCTTTGTCACTGCTCAAAGTACCACACACTTTAACCTTCCTGCTCTTTCCATAGGCCTGGGTTTGTCCTGTATCCAGGAAACTTTATATGTTGTCTAAACTGAGCATCCCAGCAAGCTGCAAGGCAGATTCAGAATGCTGGCCAGTTTCTACCTGGATCCACACCACCAAGTTGTTACTCAGCCTGCCTGTGCAGAAATAGGAGCCCAGCCACGTGGCTGACAGCTTTTTTAACTGCTACTCTCAGCAATGAGGAACTTCCCCAGCAGACAAGATTCAGAAGGGAACTGAAAAGGAAGCACATCAAGATTTACCAGAGAGGATACACAGGTTTAACCAGATACTCAGGCCAGTAAGCCCTCAAGGTTTCAGAGAAGTCAAGAGGAGCTAAAAGGCTAGGTGCTGCTGACCTGACCTCGAGCCCTTGGGACCTCAGGTCACTTGGCCAGGATGTCACACAGAACTAGACCCCACTCCAGGTCTGCCTCCACATCATTAGATTCTCCTAAGAGGGTTCATAGTTTCTCCAGGGAGGAAGCTATCACAATGCCCAAGGTAGCACCTAAGTCACATCACCCAATGCAAAATACATATGAAAAGAGCAAGGTGCAGAGTGTAAATTATGACACTATGTGTGGAAAAATAAGAGAGGATGAGTAGGAATACATCCATGCTGAAGCCATCTCTGCAAGGGAACAAACCTGGCAGCACCAACTACACCTGGAGTGGGGAACTAAACACCTTTGCAGCTTTCGAATTTTGAATAACGTGACATATAACCTTCAAAGAATAAATTAAAGACAAATGCATAATGCTATCATCTTATTATTTAAAAAATGCTCTGTGACTCTGTGTGTATACAAAAAAGATTCTGGAAGAATACACACTGTTAACAATGGGTAACTCTCGGGGAACGGGACGAGGGACAGTAAGGGACACTTTCAGGTTTTATACAGTTGGTCCTGGAACCAATCCCTTGTGGATACTGAGGGATGACTGTACTACTTTCATAATTTTTACTTAAAAAAAAAGAGACATCTTTAAGAACGGCAATCTCACCTCAAACAAGAATTTCTAAATTCCTGCAGCATTTTTTCTGTCTCCTGTTACTCAGTCACATCCTATCTTGTATGACAACTATTTGTATACAAGACTTATCTCCATTAAATGCTGGAGCAAATGCCACAGAAGCCTGTCTACACTTAAGCTGCACTTTCCAAGGACAAAATTCTGTGGAGAAGAACTGATAAGGAATAAAACAGTAGTCAAAATGTCAATAAAGCAATTACACAAGAACAAAATGATCAAATTAAGAGTGAACAATAATTTTGTATTAATTAGCATAAAACTACTAGCAATGGGGAACCATGACCAAGTCAAAACAACACTGAAAACAAGAGTCCTTCCCAGAAAGTGTGGGAATTCCAATAATCTGCATGTGCACATGTGCTAGGAGTTTTACAAAATTGCCAAGCCAAGTATGGCCACCAGATTTCTCAGTAGAATTCAGTAAATTTCTATTAGAGGTCCAGTTCTTTGTTTAGGAAAATTCCAGGGTAGCTTGAGTATTAAAAGTGAAGCTTCCTCTTGGACAAGTCCTGAAGGAAAAAAATAGAACCTGAATTTCTCTGTAAAATAAAAGCAGTTTGATTTTCAGAGAAAATGGGAGGCTTTACTAGAAAACTGAAGGTCACGTGAGGTGGTCCAAAAGAAAGGATTCAATACTAGACGGACTGTGCTGAGAAGAGAAAGACAGCCACCCAGAAATTCTGGGAAGCAAGGCATCTTACTTTGAAAAGCTATTCTCTCTAAAGTAATATAATCCGTCCTTGTTATGTCTAAGAGACTGTCACACATTACCACCCTGATGTGGGTATGTCCAGAGCGGGTAATCCAGGCTGGAGCAAACGGGGTGGAAGGATCCCACAGGTCCACAATTCTTGACAACACTCTAAAATTCTCAACTTGAGGGCCAGATTTATTCTTCTATCTGAAACTGAAACAATAAATGGACAAAATATACGAAAAAATGATTTTAGATGGTACTATATGAATGATAGCAAACTGTTAAGAGAACTGCTGATACACGGGAAGGAGAAAAGTCGAAAAGGACAAACACAGAGAGGGGATCAACATGACTAGAGGTAGAAAAATCAGAAAGGTGACAAGAAACATGAGAATCCTCCTCATCCCCTGAGAATCCACGAGAGATACAAGGACTGGGGTAGAACTGGATTTTTCACAGCACAAGGCCTGGAGAACTCTCTCTCTGTTTGAGGTGGATACTTGAATGCCCTTCTCTACTCTCTCCATGTCCAATCAGTAAGCAAGTCTTGTCAGTTACAGCTTGAAAATCCATTTAGAATCCAACCATTTCTCATCACCTCCACTGCTTCCACTCTAGCCCAAGCCACTACCAGTTCTCACCTGGACAACAGCAAGAACCTCCCACTCCTTCCTGTTTCCAATCTCACATGCCCCCAACCAAATCCCCATCTCAGTCTATTTTCCACACAGCAGTCAGTCAGAGAAACATTTATCACCTGACAGAAGAGGACAGTTACTTGTTTATTGTCTGTCTCCCTTCTAAAAGGTAACCTCCATAAAGTCAAGGTCTTCTATTTCTGTTCATTGCTTATATGCCCAGAGACTAGAACAATGCCAACATATATATAACTAGCATCAAATCAATCTTTCGTAAATGAACTACACAAGTTGTTACGGAACTATATACCACATATCTCTAGGAAATGAGTAAAAGAACTGCACTTTGTATCAGTCTGTGGGCCTTCAGGAGACCCAGGGACCTGCAAATCACACCACCTCGCTTTGTTGCCCATCACTAAATCTGCAATGGACTGTAGATAATGCTCACCAAATGAATCAACAAAAGGAATATAAAATAGATCCAGTATCGTACATACTGCCTAGGACTGACTGGCCTCAGCAGAATATGGATACAGCCTTTAACTCGTGGCACAGAAGTAAGACTGGTACAGAGTAAGAGTTTATAAATGATATCAAGTCTAAAAGAAAACAAACTATTTCACATGAACCTAGCAAATTCTGTGCTAACAGAATACAAGGACCACAGATATGATTATCCTTATTTTTATCTTCAAGAAGTAACCTAATTTTAGTTATCTACATCTCTACTAGTTTGTAAACAAGCCCACGTAGCTCAGTGGGCTACGTCTCTTCTACTAGAGACGTATACATTAAGAAACACCTGGGAGGCACAAAGGAGGAAGTTACCATCCTCACCGGACGAGACCAGACGGTCAAGGAAAGATTTATGAGAAGGATTTCATAAGGAAGAGTTTACCAGATGAGAAAGAACACATTTGAAGAAGGCACAGTCTGTTTCGGAGGAATAACAGGCTTCCAGAGTTGTTCCTAGGAGGGAGTTAACAAACAATGGAAGGATTCTGACAAAGGACAGAAAAGAGCACTTTTCCTTTAAGGACCGAGCCTATGCTTTTAAAAGCTCCTGGACTCTCCTCTCACAGTACCCACTTCCCCAATAAGATGTGACCTCTAAAGGGGCTCGGCAGATGTAGAAACATCAAATAACAAAAAATCGGGGCTGTGGGGAAGGAGGGGAAAGATAAACGTTAATTCCAGTTCAGGTCACTGGAAGACTTAACACATGCACTGCTCAGCGTTCCGTTATCTTCAGCACCAACAGGGGAAGAATCTGTCTGAACAGCAGCCCTGCCTGAAGCCGGCTGATGGCCACTGTGAGGTTCCAGTCAGTCAAGTCTCTTCCTCGTCAGGCGGTTCATGAGGCTTCCCCACTCACAGTGATGGGCTCCTTAACTCTAAATTCATTTTGCACAGAGAAGAGGAAAGAATCTGATGGTTCCAATTTAATCCATGACTTAAATCTCTCAGTATTCAACTATGTTTATTTTATGATTAAAATAGAAAGAGAGAGAGATGGGATACGGGCAATAGAAATTATACTGCGCTGATACAGAGGCTTAAATTCTAGTCAGAATTAAGGTCCATACTGAAGGTCAACCATCATACTGATGGTTCCAAAGAGTCTGGTTGAGACATACATGAGTTGAGTCTCATTATTAGCCACGATAATATAGGAAAACAACTCTCAATGAAATAGGGAGTCCACACTTGTCAGGCATGCTCTGTCAGGCACGGGTAGGAAAAAGCCTGAAGAAATGGATTCTCTCTATGCCCCCATGACAAAGACGGCTCCTGGTTTGATGGAAAAAGCAGCTCAGGTTCCCAGATGGTATCTGCAGCTCAAAGCCAAGTTTAGCACTGGAATCGGGTAGAGAACTTGGGTGAGACAGGCACCGTCAGGGGCTGGTCACTGGACTTGACTTCCACACCCTGGTATCTTCGTATTGGATTTGCTTTGTGCACCTGTAGAGAAAAATGTAATTACCATTGATAAGGATGTTAGAGAACTACACTTATGGGTGTTTTTATTTTTCTTGAGAACATTTTTGTATAGTATTGCACATCCCAGTCACTAATTAAGAGAAGGGGGGGAAAGGCAACACAGTCTATCAGCAAAGCATTAAGAGCTCTGGAGCCCAAGTAGATTTCATTTCTATTATTTTTTAAAGATAATTTTTTTTTAAAATGTGGACCATTTTAAAGTCATTATTGAACTTGTTACAATGTTGCTTCTGTTTTTCATGTTCTGGTTTTTTGGCCATGAGGCATGCTGGATCTTAGCTCTCCAACCAGGGACTGAATCCTCACCCCTTGCACTGGAGGGCACTGGACCACCAGGGACATCCCCCAAGCAGATTTCTGTTCTGGTCTTGCTGGATTCCTCAGAGTGCACCTATCTCCAGTCTGACTGTTCAGTACTGGGGTATAATGGGGGTGTACTCGACTGCATCAGAGGGGAGTCACACCTTAAGAATCTGCCAGAATAGAACCTTAATTTTACTGGGTTTTTTTTTTTTTTCATTTATTTTTACCAGTTGGAGGCCAATTACTCCACAATATTGTAGTGGTTCTTGTCATACATTGACATGAATCAGCCATGGTTACTGAGTCTTAATATTCACCAAAAGCATGGACTTTAAAGCAAACAAACAAGCAAACAAAACACTAGGAAGTGTTGCTGGGAGAAGGCATGGTCCCATCCGTTCTTAATCCTGAATCAAACCAGATTATTAAAGAGCTCTACAATATGGATAAACACAAGAGGACTCAAGCGGTGGAGAAAAGTCAGAACACTTGAGGCTGGCTTTGTGAGTGTATCTGGACTGAGGATTACATATATGTATTTTTTCATCTAATCAGCATATGGTAGCTTGGTTTTTGTCAAGAAGCTATTCCCTTTAATATTTTGTCCCTAGAGCCTTCCTTGGCATTGTCACCTCTACCAACAGCTATTCAACTGCTCGCTTAGCTATTTTAGACAGAATCTCAATAACTTCTGTATTTCCACAGTCATCCTTTTATTACACTAAGCATTTGAAGATCCATCTAAAACGTTCCTCATTAATGCAGTTCATGTGGCTTGCTACCATCTTAGTGAAAGGGTCTTTACGGTGAATTAAGCTTTCTTTTTGGATAACTAATATTAAAATCATTACCTAGTGATAGGATGGAACGTCACCTGGATTATATGCACTGTAACTCCAAGGAATTTGAATCAAGTATTAGGAAGAAAATGAAAATACAGTTGTCACACAATTCCCATGCCCTTCCTTACCTATATGTTCTAATTGTAAAACACACTGGTTTCCTTATTATTCCTTAAGCCTTAAGGCAATAATAAAAATAAGTTAAATAAAGAGTCCTGGGACTTCCTTGGTGGTACAGTGGATAGAAGTCCCCCTGCCAATGCAGGGGACATGGGTTCAATTCCCGGTCTGGGAAGATTCCACATCCCATGGAGCACAACTACTGAGCCCAGGTACTGCAACTACTGAAGCCCATGGGCCTAGAGCCCATGCTCTGCAATAAGAGAAACCACCATAATGAGAAGCCTGTGCACAGCAATGAAGACCCAGCACAACCAAAAATAATTTCTTTAAAAAGTCCTACAAATGTGTTATTGTGCACTGGCATAGCATGTGATGTTCTCTTTAGGAAGAAATTCTGACTGAATCTAGGATCAAAGAGAAATGTACTTTTTAAAATAGTTTGTTTATATCTCTCGACCATGATAAGTTTTGCAACTGACAGGTTGGTTCCCACAAAAGGCCAAAATTATAGTATAAACTTAGGAGATCCATGGATCACAATATACACATCTTTAGCCTTGTTCACTTGTCAACTTTGTCACCACCCTTGGTTTGTATGACTTCTCGGTTTCACTCATCTTTGATGCGTCCTTGGAGGCCACCTTAGATCTCTTCTGGAACAAGGCAAGGTACAGATAAACAAAACAGATGCAATCATGGGTTAGTCAGCACTTAGGCTGCCTAGTTACCAGTTCTTTCCGTAGTCTGGCCAACTCCTCCTTCTGCTGCTCTTCCTCCTGCTGCCTGGCTTCCTCTAGCTGCTGGGCTTTCAGGGCCTCCACCTCAGCCATTCTTTTCTCCAGCTCCTGCCGCTCCTTGGCTCTCTTCTCTGTCGCCAGCTGAAAAGGTTCCTGAACTAGAGAACCAGAAAGGCCCTCTGAGTACAGAAACAGAGAGAATATTGGTGCACAAGCACGACTTGTGGAACCCTGGCCCCACAGACCCAGCAAGTGTACAGAGGCATCGCAACAGCAAGGCGGAGCTCAAAGGAACCCCAAGCAGGAGAAAGGTGAAGTATACCACATACAAAAAGGCCTCAAATTTTCAGGGTTGTAAGGACCCCTATAAATCATCTAATTAGGAGAAAAGCAATACCCATACAGATAGTGGCTTGCTCAAAACTACACAGAGACTGAGAGACAGATTTAGGAGAAGAATCCCACTTTTCTAGAAATGCAGCTCAGTTCTTACAGGAATCAAATGTTTTCTATCTAAGACTAGCTTTATGGTGAAGTCCAGGCTCTTCCTTCCTTACTTGCTACTCTCTGGGCTGGGAAGTAAAGTTGTTGAAATGCCAGCTGCCTCCACCCAGACGCTGTTCTGCTACATTCAACAAAGATCTAAGGAAGAAACGCTAGATCTCCATATACGCAAATGCTTCTGGTTGACACAGCACTGTACTGACACAACTCAGTCCTAGCAAGTCTCACAATTCTTCCCCAATCCCTCAAGAACACATAAAATACTACCGATAACAGATTTTTTCTCTCGCTTAGGAACAAAGGGCTCCTGGGAGATGACAGTGTTTGGACGAGCCTTGAAGCAAGCTGCTTCTTTCTGCTGTTTTAGTTCTTCATCCAGCTGTAAGAAAGAAAATCTGTCAGACAAGCAACCACCAACTTTCCATAACTACCACCTCAATTATTCAAGTTTGAATGTTTCTGAACTGTTTCATCTATAAAGATAGCAGGTGATTATTAATCAATACCATGTGAACACAATGACCAAAATCCAGATTGTAAAATCTAGAAAGGACCAACAATCCCATTTATTCAACATATAAAATGCACATAGAGCAGCCTATAGATGAAAAGGGACTTGAGATTTATCAAACAAATATAAAATATGGATCTTTTCTTGATCCTGATTTGAACAATGCAACTGTTTTAAAAATGAGAGATAGGGGTTATATGAATGCTATTTGTCACTATTAAGAAATTACTCTTAATCTTTTTAAGTATGATAATAGCATTGGAGTTATAAAATTCTTTTAATCCTTACATTTTAAAAGTTACACACTAAAGTATTTTTGGATAAAATGAGATGGCACCTAGGATTTGCTTCAAAATAATCTTGTATAGGCTAAAATATCCAGTATAGAGATGAGTAGGTAGAAAGTTAGATGAAATAAGATTTTCCGTGTTTTGAGCACTAGAAGACAGGGTGACAGGTTCATGGAAGTTCATTATACTATTCTTTCTTTTATATACATCTGAAAAACTTAAAAAACCTTTTTATTATGGAAAATACCCCCCACATTCTATGTCATGATTGCTTTCAAAGCAACAGCCCTAATTCTCCTAGAGAACAGTGCCAACAAGGGGTCTAGGTTTAGTAACTTAATCAATCATATCTCTTGGGCTTCAACAGGGGAGACTTTCTACAAAGATCAAGCCAGAGCCCCTTTTGGACAGATTTCAAAATAAGACATAGTATCAATACTGACATAATTAGGGATTCAGGAGATTTTTTCCCAGACAAGGCAGAATTAGATCCCAACTAAACCAGCCAACAACCAATTAACTGTTTTAAATCACCTATCATCTATAAAGAGCAAATAGCATACTATGTTAAGAAAAAATATTCTATTGAGAATCTATTCTTACCAGTTTCTTATCAAAGCACCAACAGAAAAAAGTTAATATTTAATGAACAAGTCTAATAGATGAAATAGATGAGATCTTTAAGAATCTCCTGTCACAAAAAGTCTATCAGTTCTCACATTCTCCAGATGATCACTTACAAACTTAAACTTGCAGACCAAATCCAGCTTGCAGTGTCTTTTTATACAGCCCTTAGGCTAAAGATCGTTTTTATATTTTTAAAGGGTTGAAACATACAACATGTGACAGAGACCATATGTAACCTATACAATCTATAATACTTAATATATGGTGTTTTATAGAAAAGGTTTTCTGACCCCTGACTACAGTGAGAGTCCATAAAACAATCCGGTGTGTTAGTTCCCAGATGAAGCCTGGTATAGCGGGTCTACCTACTGTAACAAATCGTCAAGCAATTCACATTTTAGCTGCTCTCCCCATCCCCACCTGGTGCTTCCAAGTCTGTGCCTTCAGGGCACCTCTTCTGTCTGTCTCCAAGCAGAATGGCTCAACCTGGGTAGTATTCTTCACCTTCTTTTCTGGCAGGCTAATGGTGTCAAAGTGAGGCAAAGGATGTGCCTTGAACTTGGGCACCTAATAGAAAAGAAAATGTAAGATTTAAGATAAGGCCTTTCTAGTCAGAAAGTCACAGCTGCTCCAGAATATTTGGATGAATCTGGAAAATATGAAAGGCAAGTTTTCAAACCAGCATGGTACAGAACACTAATAGGCTCATAAGGAAATCAAGGTTTTCCTCCCAATTTTGCCAATAACTACCAGCATGATCACGGGCAAGTCACTTAACTTCCTTGTGCTTAACTTCCAGAACGGTTATTTAAATTACTTGCCCTATTTATACTTCATAAGGTTCTTAGAGGGATCAAAGGAAGTTAGTGATTATACATTAAGAGTACAACATAAGGAACTTCCCTGGTGGTCCAGTGCTTAAGAACTGCCTTCCAATGCAGGAAACACAGGGAACTAACATGTCATGGGGCAACTAGGGAGCCCACATGCTCTGGAGTGCATGAACCACAACTAGAGTCCATGTGTTGTGACGAAGATCCCGCAAGGCACAACTAAGACTCGACACAGCCAAATAAATCCAGTTTTTAAAAAGTGCAAGATAAAAAAATAGATAAATAAAAATAAAATAAATAAATAAAATGTGCAAGATAAAAAAAATAGTAAATAAAATAAAAAGTGCAAGATAAAAGATTACCTTTGAGAGATTAAAGACTAGTATTAATATTATGCTACTTATAGAAATGGAACACCTACCTCTCCTTTCTGGAGTTCTTTTATTTTCTTCTCTTTCTGTAACTGACGTTCTTTGTCTCGGGAATCAAAAGAAAAAGGGCATACTTCCACAGTTCTTCCCACTGGGATCTGGGGCTTAAAAGGCATTCCAAAATATGGCACAGGCTGAGCTCTTATCACTACTGGCTCCTCCTCTTCCTAAGGGAAAAAATTGCAGTTTAGAGACAAGACTTCTCACTCTCGCCTCTTCTGAATGTGAAGTCAGAAGACAATATATGAAAGAAGTCATTAAGGCAAGTCACTCAACCTCTCAAGTGTCTTAGCTTCCTTTTCTATTAAAGAGGGATACCTACCAACTCACCAACCTACTAAGTCATTTATTAACTCACAGGGGTGAGATCAACGTGAAAGCATTTGATAAATTAACACAATTACTTTTAAAGGATCTAAAATTTTTCACAGGAAGGTTGAAAAAACTAATGAGCTCAAACAGTGTGAGTAAAATGAACAACAGAAGAAAAGTACTAACCAAGCATATACCTTGGCCTCTTCTTTGACTCAGCCTCTAGACTCCACTAAAACATGTGACTGGGAGTATTTCCAGTTGCCAAACCCAGAATAGGACCAAGTAAGTTGACTGGGTTCAAGCTGGTAACATAAGATTACTGTGTATTCTAGTTTCAAATGAATCTATAAAAAGGTTTATGCTTGAGATATGCTATAAAATTACCCTAACTCTGGATATTTATAGATAAAAAGGGAGATGTAACAAGAAACTAGCCTGATCAATGACAGTTTATATATTCCAACTTCATGAACCATCACCACATAGTCACCTCTTTAACCCTTGGGTCAATGGAGACAGGACAGGGCAGATGTAACTACTTAGTGTGAATTTTAAAAATCCTTCACCGAATGATGACAATAGTAGGCAAAATAGAGTATAGGTCTTAAAAAAAGACTTATTTTCCAATCCAATGGAAACAAACATAAGTCGTTACAACCAGTTACCACTGAAAGCCAAAATGACTCATCATTGTCATTCAGTTGCTAAGCCGTGTCCAACTCTGAGACCCCATGGACTGCAGCACACCAGGCTTCCCTGTCCTTCACTGTGCCCCAGAGTTTGCTTAGATTCATGTCCACTGAGTTGGTGATGCCGTCCAACCATATCATCTTCTGTTGCCCCCTTCTCCTCCTGCCCTCAATCTCCCAGCATCAGGGTTTTGTCCAATGTATCAGCTCTTTGTATCAGATGGCCAAAGTATCAGAGTTTCCACTTCAGCATCAGTCCTTCCAATGAATATTCAGGGTTGATTTCCTTTAGGACTGACTGGCTTGAACTCCTTGCTGTCTAAGGGACTTTTAAGAGTCTTCTCTAGCACCATAATTCTAAAGCATCAATTCTTCGGCACTCAGCTTTCTTTATGTCCAACTCTCACATCTGTGTGTGACTACTGGAAAAACCATAGCTTTGATTAGATGGACTTTTGTTGGCAAAGAGCCTCATACACTTACTACTTTGTTCTTGGAAGAGCAAAAATAGATGATCAATCATTCATACCCATTGTTAAGACAACTCCAGGTGAGAATGACTGCCTTTGAATTCCTCTCTGTTTAAGAAAGAGTAATGCTTAGATTTGGAGACGGGCATGGTAACCCTCTACAGTATTCTTGCCTGGAGAAACCCATGAACAGAGGAGCCCAGTCCATAGGATTGCAGAGTCAGACACAACTGAAGTGACTTAGCATGCACACAGTGCTTAAATTGATTATGCAGAAGGAGTAAAGATCCCATCCTAGGGAATCACCTCATCTTCTTTGGTGGGCATTCTGATTCTGTTCTTCAGAGCAAAGGCTGGTGACTTTGGAACAGTGATTGGAAGCTCTTTCTTTTCAGGAACACCCTGAAGGGAGTAAGCAATTCAATTAGATATCCCAGAGCAATCTCAACTAGGTTATGTGATGAAATTAATACTTTTCTTAGAACTTCATGTATCAGAAATCAAAAAAGGCTAGTTGTTATTTATCCACCTAACACAGGTATGTATTAGTACTCCCAAAGGTGGATTAACATGACAGAAGATCAGCAAAAAACATAGTTTGAGTTGTATATTCAATAAAAAATAAAACTCATCAAAATCTTTTTTGGTATTCTTGAAAAACACCCCAAAATAAACTAACATCAATATTTTATTGATTCTCTCCCTTTTATACCCCAATCCCTTAAAAACAAAATCAAAAAGGATTTCCAAATGTTAACTAGGGAGAGAATATGGTTCATTCTCCTAAACCTATTTCACATATAGCTCTACATTAAGAACTTATATTTTAAAATGTTACCCTCAAAAGGTGAATGGAAAAAAGCACTGGGCAAGGCCTAGCTTAATTTCCTTTTGCCAAATAACTGGACAAAGAGCAAGAAGTTACCAAAGATACACAAGACGCTTAATCTCAAGAATTTTAGAAACTATAATCAGGCATTTTTCACCTAAAAGATTGAGTAATACACTTTAAAGACTGATTAATACCAGTGTTAGTTGGCATGTGACGAGAAGTGGGCAGTCACATACAGCTGGGTGAGGTACAGGACACAAGCTGGTACAATCTTTAGGAATTAGCTATTAAACCTTTAAATGGTCATATTCTTTCACCCAGTATTACACCCTAATATTTGATCTCTAGTTTAGTTTTTAGCTATATTTCAATATAACATTTTTAAAAAGAATAAAAACTGGTTAAATCCTTTCTTAAATTGTGGTGCATATCCACACACTAGAATATTATACAGTCATCAAAAAGAATAAAACAAATCTTTATTACTGACACAGAACAGTATTCATAATATTGAGAGGAGAGACAAGTGGCTGAAACAAAAAATATTTTGTTTTTAAAATTTACATGTAGAAAGACAAATATATGCTATCACTCATATGTGGAATCAAAATTTTAAAAATAATATAAATGAACTTACTTGCAAAACAGAAACAGACTCACAGATCTCAAAAATAAACTTATGGTTACCAAAGGGGAAACAGGGGCAGAGAGTGGGGGGTGGGCAGGGATAAATTAGGAGCGTGGGATTAACACATACACTACTATATATAAAATAGAAAATCAACAAGGACCTACTATATAGCACAGAGAACTCTACTCAATATTCTAAAATAATCTATATGGGAAAAGAATCTGAAAAAAATGACTATATGTATATAACAGAATCACTTTGCTGTATATCTAAAATTAACACACTGTAAATCAACTATACTCCAAAAAAATTTTAATAAGTCAAATTAAAAGATACCTGCACATACACTAAAAATGTAAAACAAAAAATATATATAATTAATCTAAGCATAGAAAATAAAATATGAAAAGAATACCAAACTGTCAACTCTCACATCTCTTTGAGAGCAGATTAAAAGAGGCTTTTAATCTCTATATTCCTTAATTCTTATACATTCAACTCCTTCAAAGATTTTCCTGCTTTGTGACTCCAAAACACTGCCAACATTTCAAATCCTTTCTGACTGAATTATGTGTATCATACTACACACGTGATTCAAAACTAACATATTTTAGAAAGCTGTTCCGTAAGTATTTTCTAACTCTGCTAGAGTTTACCCTCTATCATGAATCTGGCGATCTCCAGGGCTGTTGTTCTGCATAAAGTGTATGACCAGATCAATTTTTAAAATATCTTAAAGACATCCTCAGTAACTCCTTATCTGTTACACTCACATCCATATGCTTCCCCCATCAGCTCTCTATTCCACTTCTCTAACTCTTCACTGTTATGCCATAGGCCACACTATCTATTGCCTGTACCATTCCACTAGCCCACTAACAGCTTTCAGCGTCTCATCTCATTCTGCGAGTCCATCTTCTTAAACAATCAAAAGATCTGATCATGTTACTTCCTGATTTAAAATTCTTTAATGGCTCCTAATGTCTACTTACAACAGTATAACATACCCCTTAGCATGAAGGACAAGGTGCTTCATAATTTGGTACCCTGCCTGACTCTCCAGGCATGTCTCCTGTCCCTCTTTAGGCATCACCTTCCAGCCACAATGAACTACTGGCAACTGCCGAAATTTAACACTGGTTCTCATCCCACTCCAGTACTCTTGCCTGGAAAATCCCATGGACGGAGGAGCTTGGTGAGCTACAGTCCGCAGGGTCGCAAAGAGTCGGACACGACTGAGCGACTTAACTTTCAACTTTCTAACTTTATGCCCTCTCTGAAATGCTCCAGCTGCTGGGAAGTATCTAATCTTTCTTTTCAAGCCTCCACTAAAGCATCTCCTCTCTTATAAAACCCTTCAATAGATCACTCCCTGAACCTACTGACCCCACTCTCCCTTGTACATAGTCTATTATGGTACATAAAAAAACTTCATTGCAGGACCTCCCTGGTCGTCCAGTGGTTGAGAATCCACCTGCCAATGCAGGGGACACAGGTTTGATCCCTGGTCTGGGAAGATCCCACATTCCACTGGGTAACTAAGCCTATAGGTCACAACTAGTGACGAACCGGAGCTCCCTAGAGCCCGTGCACCACTCGAGAAGAGCCCCCATTCACATCAATTAGAGAAAGCCTGTGCACAGCAACAATAAATAAATTTGTTTAAAAAAAACCCTTCATTGCACTTGTTGATTTAAGATATTCATCTCCTCCTGCTACGAGTGCTTTGAGAGTAGGGACTGTTATTCCATCAATCCCTAATACCTAACAGATCTTGGCAAGTATAAGGCATTCAGTAAATGTTTGTTGAATGAATACTGTAAGCATGAATAACAGAATTTATACCTTGGACTTGAAGACTCTTGGACTCTAATTTATACCTTGGGAGACACTTCTTAATCCCAACAATGCTGCAACTGCTCCAAACATGTTTGGAATGTCTTTCTTGGAGTGGCCTTCAAAGCCAGTTTTACGGCCAGCCAAGGCAGTTGCTCACTCTTTAGTTTTAACTAAGCAATATTGTTTCCAGCTCTATTATTTTGGACTACTCTGGAGTTTGAGTTCTGAATGACTTTAGACCAACTCCTACAAGCTAATTAATCTTTAAAGTATCAAGACCTGGTCTTGCTGAAGAGATCCAAAAAACTGCCACAACATCCAAGACAAGTGGCTTTTCCAAAGTGGTTTGTACACTATCAATCTTTGGAAAGAATACATACTCTCTCAAGGTGACTACTGTAAAGGGGAGCTTCAATCTGCTGTGAAAAGTTGTCACACACTTTCCAAAGAAAATCAGAATCACTAGTATAGTAAAATTTAATACAGAACTTATAACCAGACTGACAAAAGTTTATGAAATGGGTTTTCATCTAATGCTTACCAGAAAACAACAAAAATCTGTTGTTCTACATCCTGGACAGGTGGGACACCAGCCTGGAGCTTGAACACAGCCAGGACAGGTGGAAATGGAAAGAACACTGAACAAGAAGTCAGAGGTCTGTTCTAGCCCAGCTTTCATTCCAATCTGTATAATGTGTCCTTGGTTTTTTTTCTTTTCATAAAAATAATTGAAATAAATATCTGAGAACTCATTTAGTTCTAAACAATTCCTCATTTCCTACTTTTCCCCTCTGTCTGCATCCTCCCAGCAGAGAGATGTGCATTTTAAAAGAAATCTCTAACAAGTAAGCCAGGAAAGAGATATTTTTATGAGTGGGATCAATCCTCATATTACTTAGGGGAGAAGTAAAGGTGATTTATGAAAATCAAGTTTGCAGCAACTATTTATCCATATCCCATCTCCACTGCAATCAAAGCCAATAGGGGGCTCATTCAGAAATAGAGATAAAGAAACTGGGTTTCTAGAAACAGAGAAAGCCTCTTGTTTTACTGTATTAAACTGTTTTAGTTATAAGCTCCCTGGGGGTAGAGATACTGCCATTTGCATTCCTTTGCATTCTCTATAGCACCTACAAGAAGTAGTAATTGTTCAGGGAACATATGTTGATTAGTATTACTGTCCTTCTTTGTCTATATGCCAATCTGCTCTTTCAGACTGTGAAAGCTTTGAGGATGAAGGCTGTGTCTGATTTCATTCGAATTCCCAGTGTCTAACACAGGCTGATAGATTTCAGCTTGTATTGTCTCTTACACAGTTGTTCAATACCCCAGTGCCTATGCTATGCTTAGATGCTGGGGAAGCAGGAGTGAACAATACAGATAGACATGGTCCTTGCTATCTGGGAGCTCACATTCTAGTGGAGGAGAGAAAAGACAATGAAAAAGTAATAAACCAAGTATTTCTTAATTTTCACAAGTGCTCTGAAGAAACCCAACAGAATATGGAGCTGAAGGAATGGGGAAGCTCTGAAAGGAAGCTGAAGGAGGGTATTTCTAAAGAGGTGATAAACGGGTATAAGTGGGCAACGTGGATGGATAAAAGACACATTTAGGAAAAGCAGCCCGGGATGGGATGTAAAGGGTAAGCATGTCTCCCTAAGGCAGATATACCCCATGTGCCCTGGGACAAGTTATCAGGCCTGTCCCAGAGCAATTAGGAAATTACCATGAAGCAATGTTATCTCAGGGACCATGAAAAATAATTTTTTAAAGACTGCTGGTCTCCCCAAGTCCCTAAAATATCACTGCTAAAATTACTCACTGGCCTCACTGATACCATATCCACCTCTGTGGAGCCCCAACTCCCCACTAGATGTCGGCACCAAGTTCACATTTCACACCCTGGAGCTCAAGGCTTTCATCACTCCACCTTGGCCCAAGAGCCCTTTTCTCATCCCTGCCTCAAGGCCCACTGCTGCCCAAGCCCATCTCTCATCAGCCCCGTTGTCTCCTTGCCACCTATCAACAAGTGGGAGAGCACAAGAAACACTCTAAGGACACAAGGAAAGAGAGCTTCAGCATTGAGGGGACAAACAGTGGCAGACAGACAGCTGCACCCAGGCTCTGGAGGCATGTTCTTCTGCTTTAAATAAGAGTCCAGCACCAAAAGTTAAGACAGCTAACTTCAGTTCTGCCACCAACTTTTAAAAATGTTCCTATGGGCAAGCCACGTTTTCAAAGAAAGCCCCCCATTTCTAAAAAATGAGGAGAGTAGAAAGAATAAATATATCTATGACTCCTTCAATGCTTTGTTTTCTCTAGAATCCAAAAGTTGAAGTACCTGGAAATTTTAGTAGGAAAAGAGCTGAAAACAAACTCAAAACTGCACTTGCCAGAATAAATAATGATAACAGCACTGTGAGGTAGAGAAACACAGTGTTTAAGGAGATGACAGGTTCAAATCCTGGTTCTGCATACTAGACACCTCTTAGCATCTCTTTGCTAATCTGAAAAGTAGGGACAAAAACAGAACCTATTTCCTAAGAGTTGTTATGAGAAATCAATAAGACAATCTATGTAAAATGCTGCACAATGTAAGCATGCAACAGTTATTATTATTAACATGACTGCTTACTCTGTGTCAGACACTAAGGTCTTCATCGGGGCTCTCTAATCTATGCTGCACCTGACAAATCAAAACTCCAGGGGTGGGGCCCAGGAATCTGTTTATGTAACAAAATCCCAGAGGACTCTGAGGCCCAGTTGATTTGGCAGTGACTACCCTACAGCATACCGTATCAGTTCAGTAGCTTCTTATTCACCTAGTGTTTTGCTGATCCGTTTATCCAGAACTCACAACAACGCATTACCCAGTACAACACTACTCTATGATCTCACTTAACTAACTCCTAATGAACTCTAGTCACCCTTCCCCACAACATTTCCAAATTACAACAAACTGCCAAACCAATTTCCTCAATCAGTGTTTCTAAAAATGGAGTTCAGGTAATACTGGTGATATTTAGGTAGGATGTAGATAGTTTTTTAAAAAATAATCACACATTTTCCTAAGAACCTTTCATTTTAAAAGGTACCTTCTATTTTAATACAAGAGCATGGACCTTTTTATTACCTATAATTCATATCTCAGCTCTGCCATTGGCTACTATATGATACCATACTGGACTTTCGGTTTCCTAAGGGCAAAATCCACCTCTGACATGTCTCTTTTTCACCCTGAACTCCTAATGTGATGTCCTGATCACAGTATCCAAACATGTGTGACTGGGTGGATATGTGGTTGTGAACATGACACTTCTACCAGCTCTCAGGGCTCCACCACTCTTACCACAACATCTTCCAAGATCTTAGTAGGGCAGGGCCTGGAATGAAATTCATAATGTTCCTCTTCCAATTTCTTCTTTGACTCCCGCTCCTGGATCCTTTTCTCAATTTCTAAATCAAAGCCAACAGGCTGAGTAGGTGGCTTCACAGGCGGTTTCTTAGGCAAAATGGGCCCACCTTCAAGAATTCTGGGATCAAGTTCCTGCGCTTTGAATTTGTATCTGTAAGGCGAGAGTTTAAGTGCTAACCATACAAAAAAAAAAATTTTTAATAAAATGAAAACTAAACAACAAAGCAGGCCAAAACCAGGGGAAAAAAAAGTAATCATTAAGATTATCCATCATGTGCAACAAAATTCAACTCTCCATAGCCATTATCCCTGCCTCGAGAGCAAAGAAAAAACAAGACAGTCTAACATCCCCACCACTGTAAAGACTGGGGTTTCTCTTGTACTTCTTTTGAGAAAAGAAACTCCTCCTTCCCAAAAGAAGTACTAGAAGGGAGAAAGAAGGCTACAGGAGACAACCCCAGACTTAACTCACATTAAATTCCAGGTCTCTCCACTGGTAACAGTTGTAACAATCCCTTGGGTAGCCATAAAAGGGTAAGATTTACCTAAACCTCAAAGGCCACTCTTTACTGGAATCGTAAATTCTCCCACCCAACCTGATTTTTTTTTTTTTTTAACCAGTTTACACTCCAGGACAGCTCCCTACTCCCACTTTCAATCCTTTCATCACAGAGGCAAGGCAGAGCCTGTAGTTCAAATACCATAATTCCCAAGGCAAGAAAAACAGTAACTGTCCCCCTTACAGAAGTGAAAAGGAAGCAGGCAGGTTCTTGGAACTCTTCCTCAAATACTGCCAGTGGAACTTACTGTTGCTGCTTCTCAAGCTCCTCAGCTTCCAGATCTGCTGCACTTTTGCAGGTCACAGGCCGTGTACGATGTTTGGTTTGCAGCACTGGAGTCTGTGGGTCTCTGCATATTCTGACCACAGATTTGGAGGGTAATGGCACTGTAAACCAAGATCACAGACATTTACCTAGCTAAGACCCCGTTTACCTGTAGGTGCTGACTCAGCTAGGCAGCCCAGAGATGCTAAGCCACAGAGTGGCTGGTCCCTCACACTCAGCTCAGCTCACATCAGTCAGTCTGACAAACATTCAGTCCCTTCTCCCCTATCACTCTTTACTGGGAGGTGATGATAAAGGTAGCCTGTGGAAACTCTGCTATCAACTTCTGCATCTAAAATCCATTTGTGTCTGATGGATTTCTTATCACTGCAGAGGCCTGCACTTCCTTTCTACTGACAGTGCCAACTATTCTGCATGTTATTGACAAATAAGACTTAAAATAAGGCATTTTAAACAATGTAATAATTTCCAATATTATGAACTTCTTAAAAGCATCTATATCAAAACATCAAGACTATCTCCCATAGAAAGTCAAACAGAAAAAGTAAAAAAAGAAAAGAAAAAAAAGCTATGTCAAAGCATCAATATTAAGATCAGCATCACCATTCATAGAAAATACTATTTACCTGGCCAGAAGCAACTTTGTCAATTTTCATAATTACCCAGAATGAATTTTCTAATTTAGGCCTTACCACCTAACAATTGGAGATGGAAACCAAATCTACTTATTTTAGAAATAAGCCAGGCTTCAAGTATACATATAACTATATTGAGCTATAATATAGTCCAAAATTATAAATAAATATTACTTCTGACTGGAAGTAAAACTCAAGGACCTACATCTCAAAGGAAGAAAAACTGCAGAAAATAATTTTTCTTTCTATTTGCTAGAACCAAGATTCTAAGAGCAGAATACCAGACTCTAAGAGTCATATATATTTGGAAAGTCATGGTTAATACTTACATTTCCATTAGAATAAAAAAGATTATTTTCATGATATAAAATTTGACAAACGGCTACTAGAACATAATAACATTAGGAAATGCTGTCCTTAAAGGAACTAACTCATCTGTTACCTAAAATAGCACTAAACAGTGCCTAGGCAAAGGCAGGAAAAATTTAGAAACCTTCAAAGTCAAACAACCAGATTTTGCTTTATCCAGAATACTACCCTGCACTGGTTGACAACTAGTTCACACCACACCTCCAGTCCTCAAACTTCTTTTAGGAGTTATTTTCATAAAGATAGACATTGTTAGATTAGCTTCCTCTCATCTGTTCACCACCAAATCTACAAATTAAGCAACATTTGCACTCACTGCTCTCTTCTACTCCCCTTGCAAGGAACAATCACCCCATCCGTGCTAAGTATCCTTCTCCTACCTGCACAGGGTCTTAACCATTGGTTATCTCTTTTCTCTCCTGTATTTCCATGCCTGGACTTCTCAGCACACAGATCTGCTCTCCCTATCTCACACTTCCTTTGATTCTTACATTTACATACACATTCACAGCACTCACGATAATCTGTGATGACCTGTTTATCTCTCTCACTGAATTACAAACTTGATATTGAGTAGCACCAAGTCTGTTTTGCTCACTTCTATACTGCCTACATCACACAGAGTGTCTGCTTCGTAGTAGTCAACATTTATTGAACTGATGAACAAAAAGCACACAACATTTAAGTGAATAGAAAGCTTTCATTTTCTGTAGATAAGTGTGCACCTGGACACATGGCAAAGATAACCGTGATGTGTCATGACATCTCATGTTACCTTAATTCCCCTCAGCCAGTTACTGACCAGGAGGATCAAGGTGGTTGATGGGTGTAAGTGGACAGACAGCTAGGTGTTTTGAGAAATGTTCAACTATGGGTACATTTGTTGTCTACACACAACATATGCCATGCTTTAGTTCAAAAACTAGGATTTCAACTAAAGACAAATTTGTACCTAAGATGCAAGCAAAGGGAGTTCTAGGGGAGGCTCCAGCCAGGCATGATACTAGAAAGAAACTTACTAATATCATCCTTCCTGTTCCTCAGGTGGTATCTGGTAGGAGTTCGTTTATGGAATGCTTCGACCTGCTGTGCAAGGGGAACATATGTAGAAGCCGTCTCATCAAATGTTCTTTTCTTTCCTTGTGTCAGATTGAAAGGCACAACAACGGTGCATCCCTTAGTCACTCGGGCCTGAAAAGAAAGAATTCATTCCCTAAATGAAATGTTATGGAAGAGCTCAGATCCACCACAAGCCTCAAACTCAGCAGAGGATCAAAAGGAAAAGAATCCATGGAAAGCCAAGAATCTTCTTCTTGTCGGTCCTTGAGCATGGGTTATAATCTGTATACTCCCATCTTTTAAAAAGGGGGAGAAAGCATCCAGCACTTAACAATTGTCTATTCTGTACATAAGGTGATTTTTCCCAAGCATGCTTATGTTTTGAAGCAATCAAGAGCAAGTTTTCTTAGAATTAGAAGGGGAAAAAGGCTGTACAGGTATCCCACCCCAAGTCATTTAAAAATTTTAACTGGGCTTCTGGATCAGCTCAGGCAACTACCTGAATCAAATTCTCTTCTCATATCCCACCCCAAAACTGACTAATGAAGAAGTCTATTCCTTGGGTCATTAATTTTTATAAAATTAGTTTCTGACTGGAAGTAAAACTCAAGGACCTACATCTCAAAGGAAGAAGCACAACTCCAGGATTTAAGTCTGCAAAGGAATGACTTAAACAAGTAATGATGGTGGACTTCCCTGGTGGTACAGTGGATAAGAATCTTCCTGCCAATGCAGGGAACATGGGTTTGATCCCTGGTCTGGGAAGATTTCACACGTTGTGGAGCAACCACAACTACTGAAACCTGTGCCCATTAGGGCCCAAGAGTCCCAGCTACTGAGCCCATGTACTGGCAACTACTGAGGCCCATATGCCTAGAGCCTGTGCTCTGCAACAAGAGAAGCCACTGCAATGAGCAGCTCATGCACCACAACAAAGAGTAACCCCCACTTGCCGCAACTAGATAAAGCCCACACACAATGATAAAGATCCAGTGCAAACAAAAATTAAATAATTTTTTAAAAAGAGACTAACTTACTTTAAAAAAAATGATGATGGTAATTGCAAATGCAAGTAGAAATTCTTAGTGCTAGATTTTTTATTTAGGATTATTACTGCTTTTGTTAGTGCTCTGGTAACAAAACTGCATAGGATTTCAGTGGTCTGCCCCAACTTGACCTTCCCCATAAACCCATTATATTTTGCACAAAACTTTGCAGACCCAAGATTTTTTTAAACAAATTTTTAATAGCACAAGCTGTAACAAGTCTGTACCTACAATTTGCCACATGTAATTCTATGTGTTTTATGTACATTCTCAATTCAGTTTTCACAGCAATTTGATAAGATGCTTCCCAGAGACAGTGATTTATTTAAGATTACACAGCTAACAGGGGGCAAAGTGAGGATTTAGATCTATTGTAACTCAAAAACACATGTTTCTCTCAAGTACATTACTATAAATAGTGACCATAAATACTACACCAGAATCTTCACTGAATAACTAACAAGAATATTAATTTAGTCGGTCAACTTACAGGAGATGGAGGATGCTTTCGCAGTTCTGATGTAAAGTTCACTTCCTTATACTCCTCCTGGTTTTTAGGATGCTGTTTGATCCGCTCATCTGTGCGGAAGTGGAAGTCAACTGATTTGGTAACCTGACTCACTGATTTCTTCACAGGTTGCCCTGAGTAAAAAGTACAGTAAAACATACAGGTAACACTAAGAATACAGAACATACATAGAGTAAGTCCCTTTTTATTCAGTCCTTTAGGTATTTCTATTACCATGGATCTAACTTTATTTACTCTCTGCGTATAACCCAACTTGAAACAGTCCTCAAGGACACCAACATATGTGCCTTATTCATTTAGTACTACTGAGTTTGAGGCCCTTCAGTCAGGTGCAAATTGTAATAAGGTAGCAGAGGGGAGAAGAATCCCATCTCCCAGGTGTGTTCATAGCTCTGGAGACAGAGAGAAACTGGAATACCTTTGACAAGAAAAGCTATGAAATGACTTTAGAAACACACTTAACTAAGCATCTCTAAGAGGGAGACCCCATAAACTCCAAAGATGCTTTTCAACCCAGTAAGCAGAGCTTTACAGCTTTGACTTCACCAATATAATTATGCTAAAGCAAAGCAGAACTCTGATCCCTTCGGCTCTCTCAGGTATACTTTCCTCACTCAACCTTCTTCTCTTCTGCCTAGGATAAAATAGGAAAAAAAAAAATGGTCTGTCCAACTGCTCTATCTTCTGTCTTAATCCTAGTTCCTTCTTTTTCCAATACAAAGAAAAAGAATTAGGAGGAAAAAAGAGGGAGAGATTAATTCTACTTGGGAAAATGAGGTAAGGACTCATGGAAAAGACCTCAAAAGATGGGTGTGGAAAAAAAGAAAAAGATGGGTGTCCCTTCTACAATTAGAGATGGAGAGGAATGACAGCATGCTCTAAGAAACGACCAACATACATAAAACATTCCAGGGAATGATCACTGGGATATGAATGGTACCCATGTCCAGCCTCCTAAATAAACACATCTTTTCACACTGACTACTGACCAAGAAAGACATTTTCGCTTTTGAGACTAATTTAAAAACTCTAACAAGGTTATAAGAAGCACTACCTCATAAATCAGACTCAATCAGAACCAAACTGACCTGCTCCTGAAAGAGCGAACTTTTTGAATTCTTCATTCCTTTTCCGCATCTCTACGACTTCCTGCTGCATTTTCACTCTCTTCTCCAACTCTTGCTCCTCAGTACTTTTTAGAATCTTCTGCCTAAAGGGTAAATAAGTAAAGGAGATGAGAGAGGAGAGGAGAAAAAGATTCAATGGTAAAAAAAAAATCTAAAGGCATTATATAGATTAGATTTTTAACCTGGGATAAAAATAACCATTAAAACAAAAAAGTATTTTCCAAGAAATTATTATTAACTTAGATAACACTATAAAAAAAAACGCAAAATTTATTCCAAAATATTGAAAAAATTTTCAGAAAAAAAGTTAAAAGAGACTATAGAGGATTTTACAAAATATCCACAAATTTGACTGTATAATGATTAACTTTCATGCCACAAGAAAAACTGAAAAACCAGTAGTAATATTTTCAATAAACACAGCAAAAGGTTAATATACATAAAATATATACTATGATAAAGAGAAAAGCCTTAGGAATAAAGTCAACCAGAGTTCAAATCACAACCCTGTTGTTTCATTTCCTTCCTATGTGATCTTGAGAAAAACTATTTAACCTCTACGAACCTCAGTGTTCCCCAATGTAAATGGGTAATACAAATACTTGTTTTCATAGAATACTTGTGACTATTAAAAACCAGTTTCTAAAATAATCGACATAGCGAAAGTTCAATTTAAAGTAGCCATTCTTAAGAAAAAACAATAACAAAGTAGTCATTCTTAGTAATGAAACATCACTAAGACCACTTACAGATAAATAAAAAGGAAACAACTTTGGAAAAGATGTTTACAGCAACAGTAATACAATCCTGTTAACAAACAAATAAAAATTAAAATAATTTGATGCCATCAACATTATATCAGTTAAATTTGAAACAATTTTTAAAGTAACAATTCAATACAGGTGAGACTACAAGGAAATAAAAATGCTCAAAGTTGATGGCATTAAAAATTTACACATTCATTTCAGAAATAAAACTGACAATAAAAATCAATAGCCATAAAAAGGATCATATTCATAGACCAAGGAATTTCTCTTTCCTTATCTTGAGACTACTCAAAGAAAAGAATCTCTCTATAAAAATGTTCACTGATGAAACTGGAGCCCATTATACAGAGCGAAGTAAGCCAGAAAGATAAAGACCATTACAGTATACTAACACATATATATGGACTTTAGAAAGATGGTAACGATAACCCTATATGCAAAACAGAAAAAGACTCAGATGCATAGAACAGACTTGTGGACTCTGGGAGAAGGCGAGGGTGGGATGTTTCAAGAGAACAGCATTGAAACATGTATATTATCTAGGGTGAAACAGATAACCAGCCCAGGTTGGGTACGTGAGACAAGTGCTCGGGCCTGGTGCACTGGGAAGACCCAGAGGGATCGGGTGGAGAGGGAGGTGGGAGGGGGGACTGGGATGGGGAATACATGTAAATCCATGGCTAATTCATTTCAATGTATAACAAAAACTACTGTAATGATGTAAAGTAATTAGCCTCCAACTAATTAAAAAAAGATTAAAAAATAATAATAAATAAATTAAAAAAACAAAAACAACAAAAAAAAATGTTCACTGATTCCTTGTAACAGTGAAAAATTGAAACAGTATTTTTAACAGGAAATAATTAATATAAAGAATGTTAACCATCTACCAAAAGGAAGGGTAAATGTGAAGATTTTGTATCAGTACAGAAAATAAGAGTTTCATAGTGAGTGAATAAAGCAGAATCCAAAGACTACTTATATACTGACTGTAAAAATAGGTATTTTACTTGAGTAAAGTCCAGAATGGAGCTTGACAAAGTAAATACTGTTCAATTTAGGTAACTGGCCACCTAATGTGAAGAGAGGACTCAGAGGAAAGACCCTGATGCTGGGAAAGACTGAAGACAGGAGGAGGACACAACAGAGGATGAGATGGTTGGATGGCATCACCGATTCAATGGACAAGAGTTTGGGCAAGCTCTGGGAGACTGTGATGGACAGGGAAGCCTGCCAAGCTGCAGTTCGTGGGGTCGCAAAGAGTCAGACATGACTGGACGACCGAACAAGAACCTTTACTAACTTTTTTCCTTTATATTTCTTTTACATTTAATAGTTTATTTTTTTCAATGTATAAGACGCAAGCACCCACTAGGACATAAACAATGCACCTTACCATGGTGACAGCCTTTAGAGTTTCTCAGGCTCCATGTGCTTCAGACAGACTGTAGTTGCACACATTTGTAATCTTACTCTGACTCTAAGGATGAAACTCAGGCAAGTATCATACCTTACAGGTGGGATACAAGGCGCAATATGTCTGCCCTTGGCTTTTTCTGGGGAAGATTCATTCTTTTCAGAAATATCTTGACAAGCATTGCCTTCTTCCTCTTCTTCTAACTTCTTTTTATTGTGAGAGCTTGAGTTGAAAAGGACAAAAAATATCTCAATCTCCTACAGCATATAAATATCTCAATCTCCTCCCCAGATCTACCACACATGGCTTAAGTTTTCTCATTCTTTAGGACAACAGCCATACTTCAACAGCCAAGATTCTTCCAACAGTATCATCAGTTTATATATACCAATAGCTACAACAAGCAAACTTTGAGAACACCAAAAGAAGTCAGGTAAGAGTTGTCTGGTGATGGTTCAGGAAGGTGGGAAGAGATTCCAACTGCTCATCAAATGAACAAATGCAAGATAGTTTCCTTTCCAAAATTTATGTCACTTTCTTTCTTATTAACACAACTCTAATTTTGTTTGGGGCAGCCAACATATGAAGGTAAAAGTATTGTACTTGTTTCAGCAGTCTCTAATGCAACTAGAGGGGATCCAATTTACAGTTCAGTCAACTAATGTATAAACATAAGCATTACTGGAAAATATTTTACTTTCCTATTATAGATGCTACTCCTCTTTCTTCATCAGACCCTTCTCTCAAACACAGATATGATACCTAGAGACAGAAAAGCTACCATGTGATAATGAGGCAACAAGCCCAAGGAAGAATCTAAGAAACACAGAGCAGCCATCGGGAGCAGCAAGTGTGGAGGGAAAACCCACTAAGACTCAGAAATGTCATCGAACCAAAGCTAGCAGCAAACTACTTTCAGAATTCTATGGAGAAGTAAATCACTGCTCTTTAAACTTCTCTAATTAAACTGGCTACCATATTACCTTCAACAAAACACACTCCTGACAAAAATAAGAACAAGCACCATGTGTTCTGCTTGCTATTACCATAGGAGCAAACAGGGGTAAAATCTATGCCAACTGACAGAAGCTGTGGATACTTACACTTTCATTTTTTTGGAGGGTGGAAATTCATTGATGATTACAGGAGTAGCACACCTCTTGGCTTTCATTTTTACATGATGCTTTTCTTTCTGTTCCAAATTCTTCTGAGCAGAGAGTCTGAGAGATCTTCTATGGTAGAAGAATTGACAAAACTTATCTGTAATGAATACATCTACTATATATGTTGCAAAATGTGAAAATATGTCAAACTACAAAGGCTATTTTTACAAACTACAAAAATGGTATTATTTCTACTCTAAAAATCTAATGTCTTATTGATAGCTTTTGAAAATTCACCATAAAATGGTGGTACTTTAAGTGCATTGGTATTTGTAAATCAAACCTCAATAAAGTTGATTTAATTATGTAAAAAGGCACTGGTACAACTCCCTCCTTTTGAAGGTATGAGTAAAAGTTAAAAAAAAAGATAAGGTGACTGGACCCTGTTACACAGCTAACTAGTCAGATTTGGATGTTAGAAAGAAGATCTCCCAGAAATTTACTTAAGTGTTTATTTTCTCCTCTTTCTTTTAGTCATGACCCCCTATTTTTCTTGAAATATGTAACATATAACAAAAAGTACACAAAAACCAAGTTAATGATTACAAAGTGAAGACTCATGAAATCACCACCTAAACTAAGAAACAAAACACTGGCAGCAGGTGCTATCTTGACTTTTACAGTAATGAGTACTTTGCTTTTATCTTTTTTACCATATAAACATGCATTCCATAAACACAGTATGTTGGTTTGAAAACAAAACAAAAACTTTATACATTTTTTCTGTCTTGCTTTCTGTCTCAACATTATGTTTGTGAGATTCAACCACAGTTATTCATGGAGTTCTAATTCACAAATTTTCAATGGTCTATAACATTCATTATAGGAACATACCACTATTTATCCAGTTAACTGTTGATTCTCGCATATGTTTCCTGATGTACACATTGTTGTTATAAGATTGCTATGTCACAGGACATTGGTTTATTAACTAAAGTTATTTACCAAGGTGCTTTTACCAATTTATGCTTACACTGGCAAATTTATGAGTCTGTATTGCTCTACATTCTCCTAAATACTTAGTACTGTCGGATGACTTAATTTCAGTCATACAAATTGGTATATATTAATTACAGAGCCTCACTGTGGTTTTAGTTTCCTTTTCCCAGGGAGATTGAGCACCTTTTCACATGTTTATTGGCCATTTGGTTATCATCTTTCATTAAGTACTAGTTAAGTCTCTTGGTTGCTTTCTACTGCATTGTGAATCATTTTCTAACTGATTAGTAGGAATTCTTTATACACTATGAATATGAGTCCATTGTAGGTTTTAAGAGTTACAAATACTTCCCGCCAATCTAGGGGTTGACTTCTCACTCCTTTTTTTTTTTTTTTTTTTTTGGGGGGGGGGGGGGGGGGGGTCGGTTTCTCACTCTTTATGGTATCATTTGATTAGATAGTAAGTTCAAAAAGCACTTCTTCCCAAAAAGCAAGTCAGTGATTTCTGTGTGGATTCTATTTAAGAAATCTTTCCCTATTCCAAGGTCATGAAGATATTCTCCTGTATTTCCTTACTTGAGCTGTGTTTTCACATTTAGATCTACAATTCACCTAGTACTGACTGTTTTATATGGAGTGAGATAGGTGACAACTCTCATTTTGTTCTATTTGGCTATCCATTGTCCAATCATTGTTTATTGAAGGGGGAAAAATAAAAACACCCTCTCCTCATACCCATGCAGTATCACTTTTGTATATATTGTGTCCATATATGAGAGAGTAAGCTTCTATATGATTCCATCCGGTCTCAGCATTGGGCAATACCCAAATTAATACAAAGCATTAATTATTGTAACTTTATAATATGACTTGTTATCTACAAAATACTTTAAAAGTATCTTGACTACTCTTGGACCTTTGCATTTCTGTATAACTTTTAGCATCAACTTATCAATGTCCAAAATGAAAACCTTTGGGACTTTCGTAGAGATCACATTTAATCTATAGGTCGGGTAAGGAGACTTGATATTTATAGTATTGAGTCTCTCAAAGCATTAACATGGGGGCTTCTCTGGTGTCTCAGTGGTAAAGAATGTGCAGACAAGGTAGCAGACAAGGATTCAACCCCTGACTTGGAAAGATTCCACATGTTGCAGGGCAACAGGCTCAGGAGCCACAACTATTGAGCCTGTGCTCTAGAGCCCAGGAACCACAACTACTGAGTCCACGTGCTGCAACTACTGAAGCCCACGTGCCCGGAGCCCATGGTCTGCGACAAGAGAAGCCCACACAACTAGAGTAGCCTCCACTTGCTGCAATCAGAGGAAAGCCCGCACAGCAAAGACTCAGCATAGCCAAAATAAATAAAACATGAATGTAGTATGTCCCGTCATTTATTTAGATCTTGTTTAATTTTTCTCAACACTCTCTTAAGGTTTATTAGTATATATTCAAATTTTTATGAGTGCATAGAGTACCTAATTTAAAAATCTTTATCACAGAGAATTTAAACCATTAAAAATCGAGAATAACATAAAGAACCAATAGGTACTCATCACTCAGCTTTAAAAATTACCAACTTATAAAAAAAAAGTTTCCAACTTATAGCCAATCACATTGTCAACTTTCTTTTCATCTACCCATCTTAGATTCTTAAGCAAATCCCAAATTTCATATCTTTCACCTGCAACTATTTTCATATTAATCTCTAAAGGGACTCACAAAAACAAAAATATGGAGTAATGTAGAGTACATTTATCATGCAAATCTTCTTGCATATTATTACAAAATGTATACAATATACAAAAATATGACTATTTGAGTGCACTGGAAAGTGACCAAAAGCAGGTAGAAAATAGGAACATTTATCCATGAATAGCAACAACCAAGGTTAAGAGTTACGAGTTTTCTGCCTGCGGGCACGCCCCAACCGTGGCAGCTCCAGCAGCAGAGAACTCTACTCTCACTGGCTTTAAATAACAGAAGATAGAATTCAGGCCGGTACAGGAGTTAGAAACCTAGGAGGAAAGTCATAGAAGAAAAAGAGCTACAAAAAAGGTGTCACTCAAAATCTGAGCCAAAGCTCTGCACAAATTTCCTGTTACTATATATGCTAACTATGTGTATTTAGGGGAGACCAAACATGCCCAGTGAAGAAAACAGAAACTCATGAGGTGTCAGTCCTTAAAAGACAAGTGCACTAGGTAAGACTGGTGAGTTTGCTGGGTTTTTTTGATTCAGTGCATTACCCAGTGTGCATATAGTAGAACAGCACACAACTCAAGTCTTACTAGCCTGAGGTAACCGAAGCAAAAGTGAGTGAAGTCGCTCAGTCGTGTCTGACTCTTTGCGACCCCGTGGACTGTAGCCTACCAGGCTCCTCCGTCCATGGGATTCTCCAGGCAAGAATAACTGGAGTGGGTTGCCATTACCTTCTCCAGGGGATCTTCCCGACCCAGGGATTGAACTCGTGTCTCCAGAATTACAGGCAGACACTTTAACCTCTGAACCGCTGGAAATTCAGAGGCAAAACTCCAGAAGTAAGAGAACCACAAAGAGGATGAAAACTTAAGTCTGAGTATAAACTCTACTTGGTTTTGGCTGACCACTAAGATCTTCAGGCATAGGGGAGACTCCAAGAAGCCAGATTTTCAAAAAAATTATATGTGTAGACATATGAATGGCCAGAAACCACATGAAAATGTGATCAATATCATTAGTTATCAAGAAAATGCAAATTATAAACATAATGAAATATCAGTAAAAAGACTGATAATATCAAGTGTTGGTCAAGATATGGAGCAACTGTTACTCTCATACTATCCTGCTTATGGAAATGGAAAATGGTACAGTCACTTTGGAAAAATTCTGGCTATTTCTTATAAACAGTTTGAATCCTGTCTCTGAAATAAATCTGCCCTGGACAAGCAACTTTAGCACCTCTGAGCCCTTATCTATAAAATAAGTATATTACCTACAACTCATTAATGTTATGAAGATTAAATAAGGTAACATGAAAAGTCTAATGTACTATGGGAAACATAACCCTTCTCTGAACATTATTAATATAACCACCACTGCTGAATACCTCTTACCTCTGAGGCTGAGCTGGATTATTTCTTGATGTGGTTCTTTTGACTTTCATAGAAGGACATTCATTTGATGGAATTGACTCTTCCACCAGATTTTCTTTTTCTGCCTGTTTGTTGTAAGTATTATCAACTGCAAGAGAACAAAAACTAGTCTGTACTCAAATCCCAAGGAAATACATGTCTATATATACATATGATTTAATACAGAATTCTAGATAGAAATATGTGTGTGTGTGTGTGTATCCCTCCTAAGCAGAGGAACCTTTTGTTCCACTGAATCTTATGCAGAAGACCAATTTATAAAAGCTACTTTAGTTGAGGCAGAAATGAAATATCCAGGGCCCTACCTATTTACTAGCCTAAGGCACCTCAAAAAAAGTGTCCCAAACCCCTCATGACACTTTGTTTTATTATTTGTTTATCTGGCTGCACCGAGTCTTAGTTGCAGCATGTGGAATTGCTGACCTTCATTGTGGCATGTGGGATCTTTAGTTTCGGCATATGAATTTTTAGTTGCAACATGTGGAATCTGGGTCCCTGACCAGGGGTCAAACCTGGGCATCCTTCACTGAGACCAGAGTCTTAGCCATCAGACCACCAAGGAAGTCCTTCTCGTGACATTTCAAAATGATAAAAATTCTGAAAGCTTCTGTGAGAAAATGAAATCACCTAAGTAAGGAAATCAGGATAAGCTGAATTCCTCATCAGCAACAAAGGATGATAAAAGATAATGGAACAATGCCTTCAGAGAAATCAAGAAAAAAATCTTTTAAACTGCAATTCTATATTAAGTCCAACTTTCAGTAGTAAACAAAGGTGGAACAATGACATTTTCAGACATATGAGAACTCAAAGTTCTCTTCCTGCACCTTATTTTAGGAAGTTCCCTGGGGATGTACCCCTGCCTAATGAAGTACAAATGAAAGAATACAAAAAAGAGGACATAAGACACAGGAAACAAGACACTAAGAAGAAACTAAGAAAAATAATGCCATCCTCAAATAAAGCAGTGTAACTTCCAAGGATCATTATTCAATATGTAGCAAGTTCAAATGTGACAAAATTTTAAGTAATTGATCAAGTTTAAAGAATCTACCTGACCCTGATGTCAAGATCATCTTTATGTGGTCAAGGGATTGTGACAAATAACACCAAGAAGAACCAAGAAGAAATGTAGCTGCATCACAGTAACTGACCTGGCATTCAGTAATATTTACATAATCAAAATAATGTAAATATTTCTGTAGCAATCATATGACTAGACATTACAAATACAACCCCCAATTCAATTTAAAACAATAAGAATTTTAAAATGTAGCATCTAAGAAAAGGGACTGTGTATGGGGTGGGAAGAGGAAGGAGATATTTTATCAAAGGATTCTGATGTTACTATGGACATCATAAAACAGAAGCAGAAAAAAAGTGCTGAGAATCTGAGAAAGAAACAATCAAGTTGAAATTAAAATAGAGGTCTGGGGACTTCGCTGATAGTCCAGTAGTGAAGACTGTGCTCCCACTGCAAGGGGGCATGGGTGTAATTCCTGGTTGGAGAACTAAGATCCTACATTCTGTGAAGCCAAAAAAAAAAAAAAAACACCAAAAACCAGAGCTCTGAAAAGTGCTTTGTGAACACAAATAAGGGGCACCAATTAGAGGGAAAAAAAAGATATTTCAGCTGTAAACTGAATGATGAGTAAGAATTTTTCAGTTAGATTAAGGGTAGAATAGCAAGATGGGGGAGCCTGGTGGGCTGCTATCTATGCGGTCGCACAGATCGGACATGACTGAAGCGACTTAGCAGCAGCAGCACTAATTGCACTAATGAGACAGGTGAGAATGTGTACTAAGAAAGAACAAAAACACTGTGGCTGAGGAGTATGCACGAGTGGAAGCAGTGCATATGGTTTTTGATACATGATGGGCCAAGCAGAGGTGTCCTGCTCTGGGGCTCACTGCCAACAAATAATTTTAAACTGAAAGTGGTCCAGACAAACTAGGTACCATCACAACCTCTTTCAATTCAAGAAGAGCACAAAGACCATCAAAGCAACAGAAAAATCTTCCACACTTCTAAGCACCTCAAATGAAATATGTATACATGGTTATAACCTCTTACACAAGAAAGATGGATACTTGTCCAGACCCCAAATTCAATAAGATATCACCTGTGTTTGAAAGTCAGCCTAGCAACTGACACTCTGGAAACAAGTTCACTGAAAATACAGCGACTTTCTGATATGGCCCTCTGGTTAGTGCTGTGATTGAGGCAAGTTTCAGATTAATCCATAAGATTAGTTCTCAAACGTTCTAAATTGATTGTAGTGGTTGCACAACTAGTCCATGAGCATATGAAAAAAAAGACTGAAATGTACCTTTTAAGCAGGTGAATTGTATGACATGTGAATTATATCTAAATACAGCTACTATTTCAAAACAATCATTTTTGAGTATTTATGACCTCTTAAAAAAATAATTTTTGTTCTAATCAAACAGACAGTATTTTGTATATTTAGTAACTATTAGTTAAATGCCAATCATGTTTTAAAATCAGATACAAGACTCAAAGAATTCTTGCACAATTAGCAAGCAGTACATTCTTCTCTCCTGCTGTTTTGTTTCCCAGCCAGACTCAGGTTAGGTTACATTAAATCTAGTCAAAAAGGAAAATAGTTATATATCTGGCAACAAAATTCTGTGTTAGCTTAACTTCCCAAAGCTTGAAAAATGAAAAAAAACAGCACATAATTAGTTTTCAACTCACCATGAAATGAATAAATGAACTAGCCTATTTCACCAATTAAAAACAAAGGGATACATCATTTAGGTAATTTCCCCAGGTCCCTCAGGTTCCTAGTATACTGCTCCACCATTCTGCCAAGGAGGTTTTTTCTAAGATGTTCTTACCTGGCCTCAAAGGTGTGACATCTTGATGAAGATTAGCCTTCCTCAGAGGTGTTTTACCCTGAAAAAGCCCTCCTGTACCATCCTTCCCAGGAAACTTATTCTCCAAATTAGCCTTCTCATCTGTGAAAAGGTAAAATCATGATCATCTAAACAACCAGCAAGGAAGCAAACAGAAGAGTGTCATACACTTAAAATGAGGCCTAAAGCCTCCTACTGGTACACTTAGAATTAATTTGGCAAGTACCAGCAAAGTTTCAGTGATTAAAAAAAATAAGTACAGGTTATATAACAGAGACAGCAACTGCAAAAACTATCACCAAAACACTGGTAACACTGAACAAAGTATTACAGAAAAGGATAAATGCAGACTCTGCATTGTGAATAGCTCTTTATCTTTGCTTGATACATATTTAGGATCACATAATCATAAACTGGCCTTATCTACTACCTAAATACATCATGTTCCTTTTAAAGAAAACTGTAATCAGTGAGACTGGTGAGGCTTACAAGGGATATCTTGCAGTCTAATTGAGTTGAGGTTCTTCCTCAATTAAGACAGTGTGGGGTGCAAGAGGATGGAATAGAGCTAGGTTCTCTCAGGGAATTATATCTTAGGTTTTGCCATGACCAAAGCCAGTACAAGCAGTGAAAAGTGTGTTCTATCAACAGCCTACTGATACAAGTTTTAGGAATGTGCTGAGTCCCACTATGAATGTATACTCTGACAGTGTAAAAAGATGTGATTATCTGGAAGAAAATTATAAAGGAATGCATTAGAACTTGTGTAGACCACAACAAACGCTGGAAAATTCTGAAAGAGATGGGAATACCAGACCACCTGACCTGCCTCCTGAGAAATCTGTATGCAGGTCAGGAAGCAATAGTTAGATCTGGACAAGGAACAGACTGGTTTCAAATAGGGAAAGGAGTACATCAAGGCTGTATATTGTCACCCTGCTTAATTAACTTATATGCAGAGTACATCATGAGAAACGCTGGGTTGGATGAAGCACAAGCTGGAATCAAGATTACCAGGAGAAATATCAATAACCCCAGATATGTAGATGACACCACACTTATGGCAGAAAGCGAAGAACTAAAGAGCCTCCTGATGAAAGTGAAAGAGGAGTGAAAAAGTTGGCTTAAAACTCAACATTCAGAAAACTAAGATCAGGGCATCCGGTCCCATCACTTCAGGGCAAACAGGTGAGGAAACAGTGACAGACTTTATTTTCCTGGGCTCCAAAATCACTGCAGATGGTGACTGCAGCCATGAAATTAAAAGACGCTTGCTCCTTGGAAGAAAAGTTATGATCAACCTAGACAGCATATTAAAAGGCAGAGACATTACTTGCCAACAAAGGTCCATCTAGTCAAAGCTATGGTTTTTCCAGTATTCATGTAGAGATTTGAGTTGGACTATAAAGAAAGCTGAGTGCAAAGAATTGATGCTTTTGAACTGTGGTGTTGGAGAAGACTCTTGAGAATCCCTTGGACTGCAAGGAGATCCAACCAGTCCATCCTAAAGGAAGTCAGTCCTGAATATTCACTGGAAGGACTGATGCTGAAGCTGAAACTCCAATACTTTGGCCACCTGATGCGAAGGGCTGACTCATCTGAAAAGACCCTGATGCTGGGAAAGATTGAAGGCGGGAGGAGAAGGCGATGACAGAGGATGAGATGGTTGGATGGCATCACTTGACTCAATGGGACATGAGTGTGAGTGAACTCTGGAAGTTGGCAATGGACAGGAAGGCCTGGTGTGCTGCAGTCCATGGGGTCACAAAGAGTCGGACACACCTGAGCAACTGAAATGAACTGAATATTAGAACTAAGGTGATTTTGAAAAAACAGTGGGATCCATTTTTTCTTCCAAAGTATATTTAAAAGTACTGTTACACTAATATTTCCTTTCCTATTTTCAAGAAAAAAATGTGGTAAAAGAGAGACAGCCAAGCTATTTCCTCAGGGTTACAGTGGACCAAGGGCATGGAAAAGACCTTCTGTACAGCAGCTGGCTTTCTTATCCACCCTTCCTCCTATACATACCCAGCAGACCCACTGGATTTCATTGGAGTTCTTTTCCAAGAGAATGGCATATGCTATCACATTTGGACACTGCACTATAAGTGTTAAGAACAGCTGCAATGGACTCATTTCTACCCCCATCACATACTGATTTCTCTTAATGAGAAAGAAAAAAATGAAGACGACCTGGCAATAACTAGCGTGACACATCACTGGTCTCACATATTTTCCCAGTAATATAAAAACAGAGAACAGACTTATGGACATGGGGAGAGGGGAGGAGAGGGTGAGATGTATGAAAACAGTCATGGAAACTTACATTACAATATGTAAAATAGATAGCCAAAGGGAATTTGCTGTACGGCTCAGGAAACTCAAACAGGGGCTCTGTATCAACCTAGAGGGGTGGGATGGGGAAGGAGATGGGATGGAGGTTCAAAAGGGAGAAGATGTATGTATACCTATGGCTGATTCACATTGAAGTTTGACAGAAAAAAAACAAAAATTCTGTAAAGGAATTATTCTTCAGTAAAAAAAAAAAAACCCACATCCCTATTTGTTGACGATGTCAAAGTTTGTGTCATATCACCTGACCCAGTATCAGAGAATCCTATCTCTATGTGGAAACTGGGTTCTGAGCAGCATAATCCCCCCATATAAAAATGAGCTGGAAATGGCAGCCCGGAGAATTCCGCGGACAGAGGGTCCTGAGCAGCTACAGTCCATGCGGTCCCAAAGAGTCAGACAAGACTGAGTGACCAACACTTTCACTTTCACTGTGACTTTGGGCTAGTTCCATAAATCCTAGAAGCCCGAATTCTAATAACCAAAGCAGTCTTGAGAAAGAAGAATGGAACTGGAGGAATCAACCTTCCTTACTTCAGATTATACTACAAAACTACAGTCATCAAGACAGTATGGTACAAAAAAAAATACAGATCAATGGAACAAGATAGAAAGCCTAGAAATAAACCCATGCATCTATGGGTACCTTATTTTTTACAAAGGAGGCAAAAATATACAATGGGGCAAAGACAGCCTCTTCGATAAATGGTGCTGGGAAAACTGGACAGCTATATGTCAAAGAATGAAATTAGAACACAGCCTAACACCATACACAAAGATAAACTCAAAGACCTAAATGTAAGACCAGAAACTATAAAACTCTGAGAGGAAAACATAGGCCGAACACTTGATGACATAAAACAAAGCAAGATCCTCTATGACCCACCTCCTAGGATAAAGGAAATAAAAACAAAAGTAAACAAGAGGAACCTGATTAAACTTAAAAGCTTTTGCACAGCAAAGAAAACTATAAGCAAAGTTATAAGCAAAGTTATAAGCAAAACTATAAGAAAAGACAACCTCAGAATGGGAGAAAATAATAGCAAATGAAACAACTGACAAAGGATTAATTTCCAAAATTTACAAGCAGTTCATATAACTCAATAACAGAAAAGCAAACAACCCAATCAAAAAGTGGGGAAAAGACCTAAACAGACATTTCTCCAAAGAAGATATACAGATGACTAACAAAACACATGAAAAGACGACCATCTTCGCTCATTATTTGAGAAATGCAAATCAAAACCACAATGCGATATCGCCTCACACCAGTCAGAATGGCCCTCATCAAAGTCTACAAACAGTAAATGCTGGAGAGGGTGTGGAGAAAAGGGAACACTCTTGCACTGTTGGTGGGAATGTAAATTGATACAGCCACTATGGAAGATAGTATGGAGATTTCTTAAAAAACTAGGAATAAAACCACCATATTACCAAGCAATCCCACTCCTAGGCATATACCCTGAGGAAACCAAAATCGAAAGAGACACATGTATCCCTTTGTTTATTGAAGCACTATTTACAATAGACAGAACATGGAATCAACATAGATGTCCATCGACAGATGAATGGATAAAGAAGTTGTGATACATATACACAAAGGAATAATACTCAGCCCAAAAAAGGAACACATTTGAGTCAATTCTAATGAGGTGGATGAACCTAGAATCTATTATACAGGGTGAAATGAGTCAGAAAGAGAAAGATAAATACCGTATTCTGAAGCATATATATGGAAATCTAGAAAAATGATAATGAAGAATTTATTTACAGGGCAACAATGGAGAAACAAACATAGAGAATAGACTTATGAACATGGGGAGAGAGGAGGAGAGGGTGAGATGTATGGAAAGAGAAACATGGAAACTTATATTACCATATGTAAAATAGATAGCCAACGGAAATTTGTCATATGGCTCAAGAAACTCAAACAGGGGCTCTGTATCAAACTAAAGGGGTGGGATGGGGAGGGAGATGCGAGGGAGTTTCAAAAGGGAGGGGATATGTGTATACCTATGGCTAATTCATGTTGAGATCTGACAGGAAACAGGAAAATTCTGTAAAACAATTATCCTTCAGTAAAAAGTAAATTTAAAAAAAAACGAGCTGGGGAGAGGTAGCAAGAGTGAGGTAAGTATAGTTCTAAAAGGGGAACACAAGGATCCTCATGATGTTAGAACAATTTGATATCTTGACTGTGGTAGTAAATCAATGAACCTACACAGGTGATAAAATTACATAGAACTTAATACACATGAAAATAAGTACAAGTGAAACTGGGGAAGTCTGAGTAAGATTTGTGGAGTGTATCATTGTCAACATTCCAGCTGTAATATTATACTCTATGCTCAGAGACAATAAAGCAAGTTTTTATGTGACTTCCCTCACTACAGACATGTAGTTGAATTTCACTCAACTTTTTTCAACCAGATTTTACCATATGCTCATAAAGCTTAAATAGTCATCATTTTTAAATGCAAAGCTTTGATTTCTAGTGATAGTCCATTTCCAAAATAGCAGACATTTCAACTATTTCTATCGTATCATGGATGACAAAGTCTCTGAGTGCAGAAAGGAATTTATATTTTAGTTATCTACAATCCATTCTTCTGAAAGCTGCTCAGCACAAAGCAAGTCACTAACCCTTAAAACAACTAGAAAAGCAGACACTTACCAAACCAGGAATCTATGTTTTGTGTATCTTCCTCATCAGCCAAAGATGAAAAATTGATGAAGTCCATTGGAGCATCATAGGAATAAGAGGTTGTGACTTGTGACATTGTGTCCCTCCCTTGGTGCAAAACAGTAGGTTATTTCCAACGTTTGTGTCACTTTTCTCAACAGGTCACTTCCTAAGGAAATAAATGGTTCAGAAACTTGGTTGCACATTTATCCATTTATCTAAGGTACTGGTTCCCTATTTTGCTTTTACAATCACATATGCAATTCTGAAATTAATCTGGGCAATACGCCTTACTTTTCAAATCACACTAAAAGTAAAGTTTACTTTTTCAGTAACTTGACACTCCTTGAGGTAAATACACTGGAATTAGAAAGAGACCAAATTTAATGAACACCTACAATATATCATGTACTGTGCTAAGTCTTTTACATTCATTATCTTATTTTCCTCAATCTACCGTTTTCTCATTTCCAGTCTCATCCACATCCAATGCACTTTCTCTTTGCCCTGAATAACCCAATTTCTGAAACACATCATAGCTACCAACCAAAATTTTAATCATTCAAAGTCCAATTCAATCACCTCTAAAATCTTTCCCAATTTTCATCTACCGTTCATTACTGTTGCCCCTCCAAAGCCATTGTGCTTTTATACCATCTAATTTTATATTAGTTAACTATGCAAATCTCTCTCCTAGTAAACGCTAAGCTCCTGTAGACAAGAATGAATTCTACTCACTTGTGTATACCTCATCCATTAAGGTGCTTAGAACAGTATCTTATACAAAGTAAAAAATCTGGACAGTGTTTTGCCAAGTACAGGTTTCCTCTTTAAAAATACTTTTGTAAAAAATACTACTCCTGGGCATAAAGAGACATATTTTAAAAAATACATAACAGGGACAACAAGCAGATTAGGTTAAAAAAAATGTCAAAGATGTGGGCCCATCCTTACTTCCACATACTTTGTACAGAAGAACTGTCCTGTGTTCTGTGTCCTGTGTCCTATGGAAACCTGTGTAGGAGTGTCAGCCCCCCACTCCAACCCAATGTGGTTAAAAAAATAGCTGAAAGTAATAGCCTAAAGGCTATACTCACTTGGCAAATAATTTCCCTATGAAACCCAATGAATCATTTGTCTTCATTATGGAATGACATGGACTTAAAAGTATTCTGTATCATGGAAGAGAAGTAGACATCAGTTAATGACTTACATACACATTTGCTAATTTAAGTACTTTCTTTAAGCCTTTATAAACACATGCTCATTTTTAAAAATGAGATCACAAAAACCGCTTTCATAAAAATCCACAATGCCATACTACTTCACACACCCACACAATTTCTCTCAATCTCTACACACACAACACATACACACACTTAACTTTTACTTTTTTTTTCAAATGGGATCATTGACATTTTCAATCTGCTTCACATATCGCAAGCATCTTCCATGTCAATATAGATATATCAGCAACTAATGACTGTGCCCTAATTTACTTATCCCCTATATTAGGACTGTCCCAATACCTTCACTTTAAAGATACTACTAGAAGAATATCCATGAAGCTAAGTTTCTGTATATACATTTAATTCTTCCCTGAAGACAAATTCTAAAAGACAGAATCACTAGCTATTGACCCATAATGTGAAAACATTCCTCAGGACAGTAATATCCCCTTGCATTACAGAGAGGTGTGCCAGTTCTTTTCCAGGTACTAATAGCCCTCAGTACTCATTTTCTCTATATTATACCTCTATACCTATGCTCTGAGATAAATTATGAGATTAGGTCCACCCAAACTCACTGTTGCTTGGTGGTTTGGCCAGCAGACTTGGGTAATTTCTCTCAGTGAACTTGGGTAATTCAGAAGGAATTTGTTCTATTTGGTTTACATAGTGAAATCAATCTACGCGCCAGAGAACCTCATCTTCCCACGGTCTCCCTATGAACTCATTGAAGCTACACCTCCAGAGGTACCTTTATAACAATGCTCCAGTTGAAGTACTAAGTGTAGAAATGTGACATTTTGGAGATGGGAGGGGTTTTAAATAACACCTATATTTTTCAGTTTATAGATAAAGATTAAATAAAGCAAAATGAGGTCCTCTAGGATCATACAACAATACTACTAACGATCATGATAAAAATAAGGTACCAAAGGTGCTTACACATGTCAAGCACCATGAAATATCAATACTAAATACACACAATTTTAATACCCTCAGTAATCCTCTAAAGCATCAATTATTCCCATCCTAGAAGAGGAAGCTGAAAATAAGGGAAATTAAAAAAGACTTGCTCAATATCATAAAGTTATATAAAGGAAGAATCCAATCTAGAACTGAGGCTCCTGACTTTAGTACAATATGTTTTCTACATCATGTGCCCTCACCCTATGAATTAGAGAAGCATGTTAATGTAGTTATGGTCTATATTTGCATAGGAAAGAGTACTGTATAGGAAACAGTACTGTATTTCTTTCCCAAGTAGAAAGTCTTCACAGTCTTTTACCCTGAATAGAGGATTCTTTATTATCCTCAATTCTTAAGTTTTCACACTTCCCCATTTCTACTTTCATTATTCAATTTAACTCAGTAAGCTATGTGTTAGCAGTTCATACTTGCTAGGGGCCATAAGTCTGGGCTTGATAATACTGGAGCTCCTTTCTCACTAATATTCAAGGATGAGACACTGTCTCATACAAAAAGTAGAAGATCTAGTCTCAGACACAAAGGAATTCAAAATCTAGACAGGAGGCCTATCAGACTTAAAAGATGTGCTGTGCTTAGTCACTCAATCGTGTCAGACTCTTTATGACCCCATGGACTGTAGCCTGTCAAGCTCCTCTGTCCATGAGATTCTCCAGGCAAGAATACTGGAGTGGGTTGCCACACCCTCCTTCAGGGAATCTTCCCAACCCAGGAATCAAACCCAGGTCTCCTGAATTGCAGGTGGATTCTTTACCATTTGAGCCACCAGGGAAGCCTAGACTTATTTTTAGACTGTTAATCAGACTTAAGAGATAAGACAGTATAAATATTTAAATCATATAGTATGAACTATAAGCATAAAGAAAATTAGAGGTTAAAATGGTTTAAGTCAAGCTATGATTAAATATTTTTCATTGAACACCATCAAAACAGTAAAAAGTACTCTAAGACAGAAATCACCTCCTTGATCACCAAGTTTCCAAGCATGAAGCAGTAGCCATGGGACACTTTGGCTAATAAGAACAAAGTAGGAATCTGCTGAGGGATTCATAAGAAAATTCATACTTTCCTAATATAGATACACTACAGCTCTTGCTTCTCCCCTTTTCCTTCACCTTGCTTCTTGCCTTGAACGCAGATGTAATGGCTAGAGCTGTAGTCATCATATACACAGGAGTAAATAGCCAAGAGTAACAGATATCACTGATCAGTGATGATCAAATATCAGCAACCACCTACCTCCAGACAATAAAATTATTTTCATATAGGTCCTTACTAAGCAATCCCAACATGGAAATACAGAATTCTAGGCCTCTCCCTGGCATTACCTGATGTATATGACAATGGGGAAGTCACTCCACCTTTCTGCCTACCTACTTCTCATGAACAAGTAAGAAGTTATTTTGAGTGCTATGATATTATCACTGCCCTTTGACCTACTGATACCTTTCCTCTCCTTGACCGTATTTCTATTCAAAGGACCCTATTGGAAGATTCTCCAGCAACTGACAGTGGTTAAAATTCCTCTGCTCTAAGAAGGAAGTTTTCCTATTCTTTGAACAAACATACTAGAAGACATGGGAAAATCTTGGATTCCCATGATCTTAATGCCTAACCCAGGTCACTGGGAAGACTTCCCAGGCAGGAATGTTACAAAGACAAGTAAAGTTAGGGGGAGGGAAGAGGCAGGAATGTAATATGCAGCAATCCCACTTAGTCTTCTAAAAATCATGATTCCACCAAAGCATGCTGCTGAAAACCACCTGGAAAGAATTCAAATTTAACCCCTCACAGCCTTTTTTTTTTGTTTTTAAATTATGGAGCTACACTGTTAGGCTCTTTAGAAAGTAATTTGCATTTTTCTTCGATAGATTTTGATAAAAGTAGAAATTTATCTTATAAACACGTATCTATGCATATATAAGAATATTCACAAAGCACTGTTCATAAAAGCCAAAAAACTGAATATGCAAATTTGACCAATAGATTAGTTGATAAATTATGGCACAACCACATACTGAGATATTAAGTAGCTTTAATATTAAATAATGTTACATATGTGATTTCTACAGAATGAGCTCCAAGAGCTATTAAATAAGAAAAGCAAAATGCACAAGTGTGTGCTCACATTCAGGTTAAAGAGGAAAGGGGTAATGTATACTCATGAATACCTTTATATATACATAGACTATTGCAGAAGACACAAAAGTGTGAACAGCATTTGGGACTGGGAAGACAGCTGGGAGGTCTGGGTCAGGGCAACACTTTTCACTATATTAACTTTCGTATTCTATTATTTCAATGCATACCTTTTCAGTTTAAAGAGCTAGTTAACCAGTATTATTATCCCCCGAAATCTATGGTGACAGTCCAGAAGTCATTAGGTTTTCTGGGATTTGTATTAAATACTCTTATAATCCTGCAATAACTGTTAAACCTTTTGATTTTTGGAAATAATGCTTCCCATTTACATGGTCTATAAACTGGTACTAACTTCACATATCCAAATGATAAATATTTTCTTTGTTAATGTTTCTGTATAAAATCCTATGTATTGACATAATAAAAACTTTGAAAGCAAAGTTAAAAATAGTTAAAAATAGCAAAGTTAAAAATAGTAATAACTATCAATTACTGAGTACTTATGACAAGTCAGACACTGTGTAGTGTTTTCAAGTATTAACTCCACTAAATTCTCAACAGTAATTCTATAAAGTGGGTGCTATTATTAATTTCACAGATGAGGAAACTGAGGCACAGAGAGATTTACTATTTGTTCATGGTCATACACATAAGTAGCAGAGCCAGGATTTGAACTCAGACAAGCCCTAAAGGGAGTGTCCTTATCCACCACACTATCCACTGCCTCTCCTATTTGCTTAAAAATAGATATTTCTGTAGATCAATATCAAATGTCAAAAGTGAGAGACAATTTTATTTTTTTCCACTTCTTTTTTCCCCCCATTTATTTTTATTAGTTGGAGGCTAATTACTTTACAATATTGTAGTGGTTTTTGCCATACATTGACATGAATCAGCCATGGATTTACATGTGTTCCNCTTCTTTTTTCCCCCCATTTATTTTTATTAGTTGGAGGCTAATTACTTTACAATATTGTAGTGGTTTTTGCCATACATTGACATGAATCAGCCATGGATTTACATGTGTTCCCCGTCCTGTACACCCCACCCACCTCCCTCCCCATCCCATCCCTCTAGGTCATCCCAGTGCACCAGCCCCGAGCACTTGTCTCATGCATCCAACCTGGACTGGCGATCTGTTTCACACTTGATAATATACATGTTTCGATGCTGTTCTCTAAGATCATCCCACCCTCGCCTTCTCCCATAGAGTCCAGAAGTCTGTTCTATACATCTGTGAGAGACAATTTTAGATAACAACTTCCAAATACTGATTGTGTACTACAGGCCAAGCACAAGCACTTTACTAGGCACTTCATATAAATTATCTCATTTAAACTGTATTAACAAAACAGAAAGTAGATATCATCATCAGTTTTACAAATAAGGAACTGACTCAGTTACTTCCTGGTGGCTCAGATAGTAAAGAGCTCACCTGTAATGCAGGAGACCCAGGTTCGATCTCTGGGTCAGGAAGATCCCCTGGAGAAGGAAATGGCAACCCACTTCAGTATTCTTGCCTGGAAAATCCCATGGACGGAGGAGCCTGGCAGGCTACAGTCCATGGGGGGTCACAAAAAGTCCGACACGACTGAGCGACTTCACTCAGTTCCTCCAGGATCCAAGCTACTCCAGGATCACAAACAGGCGGGTAGCAGCACTGAGTTACAAGACTCAGTCTATAGAATTAAAAAATCTGAGGTCACTATAATATACAGGGTTTTCCTATCAATATTCCTTCAAAAATGAGGAGCCTATTAGACAAATACAAAAATAAACTATTCTCTACAGAAAAATTAAGCATTTTTAACAAGTTTTGCAAAAAGAACACCCTGGTAAATTAAAAACCCTATTCTAAGTATACTATTCTAAGAATACTTAGAATATACTAAGTATACCCTATTCTAAGAAAGCTCGGAGCTGAATCTTCTCATAAACTAAAACATCACCCCTTAATTTCTCTTTTTCTAAGTTTTTACTCTTGCATATAAATTTTTGCTATAAACAAGATGGAGGTTTGTCTGAATCTCTCATTGGACAGTTCAGAGTAAAAGGGACTACTCAAGCATCAGAAGGAGGAATGTGCTCTGAAGGCTAGAACTGCTTTTTATCACTGGGGGTTAAAAGGCAAAGGGGGCTCAAACCCAAATATACCTAATCTTTATGTAGGTTAAAAATTTAAAACCAAAATACTAATTTTTAAAATGATCTCTTTTTCAAAAAATCTTCTGAGCTATCTTTTGGTCTAGTATACCCCTCTACCCCATTACCAAAAAAAGGAAAATAAATATATATCTATTGAGAAGTCTGACTCGCCTCAACAAAGAGTGACTGCACAAGTACATGAACAAAACCAAAAGTAACTACTGGCAACTGCTAGCTTCATTACAGCGCCTCTCCCACAAATATTAGGACGTGAAACCTTCAAAAACTAAAAGCCTTGTGGGAAATGAAACAGGCCAAAGCCAACTGTTTAAATGAGAGCCTCAAGCAGGGTGGAACTGGATGCCTTCCTACATCCCTTAATCAAGATTGAATTTCTGTCAACAGGTTTCACTGAAAAAAAAAAAAAAAAAAGGCACATGCGTCAACCACATTCCCCAACACAAATCAAGCTTCAAGCAGGGTGGAACTGGATGCCTTCCTACATCCCTTAATCAAGATTGAATTTCTGTCAACAGGTTTCACTGAAAAAAAAAAAAAAAAAAAGGCACATGCGTCAACCACATTCCCCAACACAAATCAAGCTGCCGCAAGAGAATTGGCTTCACATTTCAAAATTACCTGAATCCACCAGACTTCTGCAAAACTAAACATTCTGTGTGAAGAAATAGCTCTTCCTAACCAATAATCCTATGACAGACCTGAGGGAAAGGCTTCTCCTACATTATAAACTAGTTAGGTTCCTTTTAAAACTGCCTATTGAATGCCATCCATCATATCAAATAGCTTATTCTTGTTTCTAAAAAACAAAGTCTGAAAAGATACATATAATCCTTCCTCTTAAGGAACTCACAGTTAATTGTGATACAGGGTGATCTTTGCACTAACAAGGGATAAACAAACAGAACTGTGGAAGTGCAGAAAACGGTAACAGATGAAGGAGAGTCAGAGAAGGCTTGCTGGTGGAAGTGATACATAAAAGATACAGACAGACATGCAGAGTTCTGCAGGCTAAAGATGAATACTGACTTTTTCTAGCAGAAGAAATAAGTGGAAAAGGAAAACACATACTGGGAAGCTTGTAATTAAGAAAGATTGTAAAAGAAGCAATGTAACTTATTTCCACATTCAACTGAAATTAACCTCCATGGCTCCCTGTCTCTCTTCATTCTCCAACCAAAAATAACCAGCCATGACAAGCTCTATAAATCAATAGGTGCAGGTTCAGAGTAGGGTGGAGGAAAGCTGGAAAAGGGTGCATTCTAAGCAAGGCTGAAATAGCAGATCAGCAGCTCCTGGGAAAAACAAAAACTTTGGTGTGATAGATGATCTCAGTACCTCACAGTTCACTTGTGAACTGTCTTGCCTCAGTTCTGTTGGAAGAAAATCATGAGTTAAATAAATGGTAATACAATAGCATAAATAGAGTAAGTCAAGACCTCATTAGAAGTGTAGTTAAAATGGTCCCATCCCAGGCAGTGCCATTTCCCCAGGGACACCCTCTCCTATTTCCACAAGGGATAAGAGATCTTGTTACACTACCACAAGTTAGAGTTGAGTTATTTTCATTTTACCCAGGGAGAAAAGACTTACATTCTTTTTTTCTTTTTTTATAGGATTAGCAAGAGATAGCAAATGGCAACATAATCCAGACTGCAATTTTAATTGTTAATCAAAGTCACAAACCAAGTCTAAAGAAAGTTAATGGACTTTGTGTTTCCACAATTGTTTGCTAACTTCTATGTTGAAATCAGATCTGTTTACAGAAACAGATCTATGAAGCTTCCAAAATCGGGTCAATTTAAAATCCAATGATAATCTCTCACTCTCTAAGCTCTTAGAAGTCAGCACAGGATACAAGGACATTTGTTCTAATTCATCACTGTCCAGAAATCTCGAGCAAACACACTTTTCTATCATTTTCCTTCCAAACTTTCATATTTCATTTCTGAATGATTACAAATTCAGTTCCACTTTTTTTTATTCATCCACAGAACTCTATAAAACCATAATTCACTCTTACATGACTAATAGAACCTGGATAGAAATCAAAGATGCCATTTACCTTTAGGCCAAATAACAACTCTTACCTTTACCAAAGTGTTCTGATGTTCCAAAAGAAGCTAAGAGACTTTTTAAGGGCCGACAGTGGGGCTATAGGAGGTTACAATACTAGCCAAATCTCACTCAGTCTTATAGAAAATGATATCCCTCAAAAGGTGTCTGGTTTGGAAAGCAGACACCCCAAAAAGTGATTACCAATGAGGTGGCAAGGGGTGAGATAGGCAGTGACAGGGTTGGAAGATTTTGAAAGCTAAATTTTTTTATATTACTTTGATTTTTGTACCTCGTGAATCTAAACATTAAATATTTTAGAAATGTAAAATTGTGCCTGTGTGGTGTACACTGCCAGTGGATAGGTAAATCAGCACAATTATCCTATGAGGCAATATGGTGTTTCATACAAAAGTCTTAAAAATATGCATTCTTTTTGACCAGTGATTCCACTGGGTAAAATACTACAGCGGAACCATATAATGGAATAATAGCCATTAAAATTATGTTTTAGAAAATTTTAATGAAATGACAAAACTTTCATAGCCTAATTATAAAGTGGAAAAAAATGATAGCTATTAGTGCATGATTTCTTAAAACCAAATATACATTACCCACCCATCCCAAATTGGAAGGAAATCTACCAAAATGCTAGCCATAATTTATCTGAGAAGCAGGATAGTAGGTGACATTTTTTCTTTTCCATGTTAAATAAATTTTCTTCCAAAATGTTATGTTATAAAGATGAATGAAAATTATGTAAATAATTTTTAAGCTATTAGCGTTCCCCTTATTTTTCAATGTAACACTGTGAATACAGCCTTACCTGTGGTTTAATCTGGTCAGTACCCCTGACTACAGACTCTATTCAAAGTTGCAATGTACTCTTTCACCTCTCTTCTGAAATTCTCAAGTCCAGAAAATACTTCTTTTCCAGAATCTGAAAGAAGCAGAAAGATGATCAAACAGGTTCAAGTTCTTTGTAGCAAAAACGGTTAGCAGAGAACAGAAGGTGGTATAAAACACCAAGGATAACCATGCTTAAAACCAGAGCACTTCTGAGCGCTAAGGTCTAAATAGCATGATGCCCCCTAAACGCCAAACTTAACAGATTATTGTTTCATTAGTGTAAAAGTGTTCTTAAAGTTTTTCAGGGTATATGTGCTATGTCCCTTTGTTTTTGCTGTTACATAACTTACACTTCAAAGCAACCTCTCCACAGCCTGCAACTGAGGAGCACTAACATCAAGGGGTCATTAGTGTGTGTCCTACTCAAATATCAGGACAAAGAGTACGCACACTGTATATGAAAAAAAAAATTTACTACCTTTTTTAAATTTAAAAAAGTAGAAAGCATTTTATTAAAAAAATTTCTAAAGTTTGCTCCTACATACAATTTTATACCTTTCACACTAACCTTTAATTTCCCCCAATCAAGTTCCTTTACGCAAACAAACAAAAACAGAACCCCTTCCAGTTACCTATACTTTTTTCACAAAGTACCTTGGCAGGTGATCTGTCTCAAACACAAATCTATTCACAGAATTGATTGGGTTGTTCAATGTCCCTGGAGTAAATTCTGCTTTCTACCTTTACCCACGGCAAAGAAAATTCATTTGCCAAAGGACTATTTAATCTCTCCTTCTGGGGACCTCCCTAGTGGTCCAGAGGTTGGGAATCTGCCTGTCAATGCAGGGGACCTGGGTTTAATCCCTGGTACGGAAACTAGGATGACACATGCCACGGAGCAACTACGCCTACAAGCCACAACTACTGAAGCCTGCATGCCTTAAGGTCCCCAAGAGAAGACACCCGCACACCATAACTAGAGAAATCCTGAGCACAGCAAAACGAAGAGCACATGTGCCGCAGTGAAGACGCAATTCAGCCATAACCTAAAGACTCAAAAAAAAAAAAAAAAACCTCAAAACTTTCTTAAAAAAAAAAAAGCCCACAAAACCCTTCTCCTCCTTTCTTCCCCAACAATTCCAAAAGAATTAGGGAAAGGCTAAAGAAAAAATACACATAGGAAATATGGGAGAACTGTGACCCTCTCCTGGTGCCTATACAAGAAATAAAGGACCCTTCCACTAATCCTGTCACCTGTTGAAGCCTAACTGCAACTACAGGACAGGCAACTTTATTAAGGTCAGAATGCACAGACTTAAGCATAAGGCTGATCAAAATAACTGTTTTATTTAAATGACTTGAAGGTTTAAACAAATTTATCAACCTAATTCCATATATTCAGTTTTTCATACCTGAAATTTTGTAGTCAATTTAAGATAACACCTTCTTGCCTTTCCAGTTCAACAGATATTGAATGGGTGGTTTCCATGCACCAAGACTGCCCTGGTTCCTAACTAAACTCTCTTTATCAAGAGCAGTTTGTGTCCTCCCTGCTTCACAAAGCTACCTTTGCTTGTTTTAAGCCTCAACCATCTCCCTTACCTCTAAACTGCCAGGGGCTTACAATACAAAAACTAGAATATGCAGATGCTATCTTGTCTTGTTCTAATTGTCACTTGTCAATTTGAATCAGACTTTTGCCCTCAAGCATACCAGAAACCCTTTGACTGTACACACACATTATCTTACACCAATATGAGCACAGAGTATAACCTCAAAGATCAATTGCTAAGTGAGCTGGGAGTCACAATAATTTTGATCCCAAGAGTGACAACCTAATACCGAATTGACACACCCACAGTACAAAACCAAAACAACCAACCAAAGGGACTCAAGTTTCATTTAGGGGTGGCTTGACAGAGGGTGTGATACACTGAGGCCACAGCACAAAAATATCCTTAGTATTGCAGCAAATAGTTCGAATTTTGACACCTCATGAGACAATTTCAAAGACAGACCATAGATTATCAAGACAAGGTAAGGCTGAATCAGGGCAAACTCCAAGTGATGATCTTAAAGTTAAATCTGTAGAGCACTCCGATGCTATCTTGTCCTGAGCAGGACTGATTGAAAGTTCTTGGTACCTAAGTACTAGAAAATTGTGCGAAAAAGAAACCATTAATGAAGAAAACCGGAGAAGGAAATGGCAAGCCACTCCAGTATTCTTGCCTGGAGAATCCCGTGGACAGAGGAGCCTGGTGGGCTGCCGTCTATGGGGTCACACAGAGTCGGACACTACTGAAGCGACTTAGCAGCAGCAATGAAGAAAACAGGGAGAAAAACAATCCTACAATATTATAGTCTGGTTCACTTTTTCTTTCCACTCCAATCTGTTAAGTGTCTTAGGACAGGAAATTAGAAAGGCAATAATACCCAGTGATGCACACAAAAGGGGAGGGTTGATAAAATCGAATGAATTTTAAATCCCCCGACAGAAAGTCAACTCCAAGTCGAATTCCTTTACCTTTCTATTTTACAAAATATTTATGAGATGCAGTTGTTTCGTGGCCACACCTGTTTTCCTCCACCAAACTCCACACGTCTTGAGGACGGGCTACTGTATCACTCATTTCTAGAAATTTATCTAGATCACAGGCCTCATTCCCTCCTATAAAAGAGGGCTAAAACTAGCACCGACTTCACTAGCTTGGGGAGAAAAATGAGAAAACACGCAGTGCTGAGTCCAGTAAACGCTTATTGCCTGTGTGCTGGGTAACGATAGGGTAATGTCATTACCCTAAGCCCACAGCCTCGCCCTAATTCCTCCTTCTATTTCCCACGCTGGCCTCCGCCTCTACCTGCAAACACAGCCTGCTAGACCCGGTCCCGCCGAACTTCACGGGGAAATCCTGTAGGGAAGGGAGGCCGGAAGCTCAGCTCCTGCTCCGCGGGTCAGGGCGGCTCCGCGGGTCAGGGCGGCACCCCCGTAGTACACGTCCCAGTAGCTGCGCCCTCCACGCGGAGACCTCCAGTCGCTTGAAATTAGGGTGAAGGCCGCCGGGCGCCCCAATTGCTCCTCTTCCCTCCTCACTGCTCGCCTCAGCCCAGCGCTGTCAACCGACCGCCGCGAAGACCCGCCACGGAACTCATTCAGTACCGTTGAAAAATTTGAACGCAGACTCTGCACAAACGCACCAATCAGCGTGCCAGGAACCGGCAATCCCAGCCTTCCGATTGGCCCCTGAGATGCTGGCGACGCCGGAAGTCAGGGTGAGGGACAAGCAAACAACCGGCCCCGAAGGCTTCTGGGAAATGTAGTGTAACTGCGAGAGCCGGTTGCAACAACTCGACAAAGCAAGTTACTACAAAGCCCAGAATGCTCCGCTACAAACTATTTAGGATAGGTGGTTAAAAATCCGCCTGCCGACGGAGACCTAAGAGACACGGGTTCGATCTCTGGGTTGGGAAGATCCTCTGGAGGAGGGCTTGGCAACCCACTCCAGTATTATTGCTGGAGAATCCAATGGACAGAGGAGCCTGGTGGGCTAACGTGCATAGGTCGCAAAGAGTGGGACACGACTGAAGCCACTTAGCACGCACCCTGCAATGCAACATAGACTGGCCCTTAGATTCTTTGCCAACTGTGGAGTCTGTCAAACTCTTCATTCAAGTCCACGCCCGGATGTTAGTGCCTGAAGCCACGGTTTTTAGAGGATTGTTCTTTTCTCCTTTAATTCCACCAACATCCTTGGGTTTATTACCCTCATATTGTAGAAGAGAAAACAAAGGCTTAGAGAAGTTGAGTAAACTTGTTTAAAATCACATTTTTTTGAGTGGAGAAGATGGGATTTGCATTAAGAACATCTAGTCCTATTTATCATCAATAATCACTTAGGAGGTAATAGCAGCAACAAGAACAAAAAGATCAACATTCACCCCCTACACACCCCCCTCGGGATTTTGTTTTAATTAGTCTGTGGGGCTTGTGCACTGGCACTTTCAAGTGCCCAGGCAATTCTCATATGCAGCCGGGATTGAGAAGCATTACTACAAACCAGTAGTTCAAAAAGGACCAGATGATCAGTATAATTGGAAACTTATTAGAAATGTAAATTTTAGGTCCCACGTGAGACCTATTGAATCAGAAACTCTGAGAGTGGGCACAGCAATCTGTGTTTTCTATCAGCCCCTCAGCTGATACTGATGCCCACTGAGTTTTGAAACCCCTAAACCAAGAGACACTGGCAAAATCTCAGGCCTCGGGACCTATTTGTGTTGACAAGAAGGGTTTGAGCCAGATGGTCTTGGCTCTGGGTTCTCCCAGGACCCCGTTATTCCACCCAGCATTCTGTGAGGCTGAGATGCCTACTGCAGATTCTGGCGCCGTGTTACCCGAGTGGCCCAGGAATCCTAGGTGTGGAGGGATGGTCCACTCTGTTGCTGCGTGTTACTTCCTAAATTCGTCTGCGCCCGCCTGAATATTCTCCGTCTGTAGCAAGAGCCTGCTGCGTTTTCCAGGAGCGCCTTGCCCACCTAGAACGACCACACACCAAAGAACAATGTCACTGCAACGCTTTCCCACTTCACACTGTGCCTCACGCTGAGCACAGAGGCTCTGGGGCGCCAAGAGCACCTTTCTCATGGCAAATATTGTTAGAATTCAGATGTCCCTCTCTTAAAAAAAAAGGAGATGGTCACTAAAGCATAAAATCTGGATATATTTTAACGGCTTTTAGGAGCCCTAGGAATAATGCCCATGGCAGACCATAGCCTCTGTCACGGCGATGAGCTTTGGGCTCTCCAGAGAAATTTCTGGCTCCTTAAAGGAAAGTTTCACTGACTTGACCTAGTGTCTCAACATTTTCTGGTCATGGATGCTTTTGAGAAGCTAATGAACTCTCTGGATCAGTGCTGCCCCATAGAACTTTCTGTGGTAATGGAACTCTTCTACCCTGTGTGGTCCAACGCAGTGACACCACATGGTTACTGAACATTCAAAATGTGGCAAAGGCAACTGCAGAAGGGAACATTTAATTTTACTTAAACTTAACCAATTTGCATTTAAATATCGTATTGGACAGCTTGGGTCTAGAATTCCATTCACCCTCAAAATATGCATGTGAATATAAACACTGTACACACAGTTTGGGGGGTTTGTGGAGAAGAATGGATTGTCAAACTTGGCCTCCAACACCCCTCAGGGTTCCGCACAATTAGGGAATGGGGCGGGTGGAAGGGGGGTTCCCCTTCTTAACCTGAGAAATTTCTTTTTTTTAAATATGTTTTTTTAATATATTGGATTTTGTATCATCTTAAGTTTGGAATGGGGATAAACTAACTTTTTCATTAAAAGGCCACAAATCTGAGGAACTTTCTGGAGTGATATATATGTTCCATATCTGGATCTGATGATTACACTGATGTATAATAGGTAAAATTTGGTAAGTTGTACCTTTAAGATTTGTGTATTTTACTATATGTAAATTATCCTTAGTAAAAATACATACAATTTTTTTAAAAGATCAGTGTTCATAATTAAAAAAAAAAGCTACAAAAGTTTTAACAAATAAGCCTAAAACTTTTACAGGAAATTTTAAAACTGAAACTTTGTTGGATAACTATAAAAATAAATAAGGCTTGGGTGTCCCTGGTGACTCAGGCTGTAAGGAATCTGCCTGCAATACAGGAGACCTGGGTTCGATCCCTGAATCAGAAAGATCCCCTGGAAAAGGGAATGTCTGCCTACTCCAGTATTCTTGCCTGGAGAATTCCATGGACAGAGGAGCCTGGTGGGCTACAGTCCATGGGGTCGCAAAGAGTCAGATATGACTGGGTGACTCATGCTTTCATATATCTTATTAATGAATGGTGAGCTCTAATACTGTAAATTCTCCATATTAAAAGTTAAATGCAATTCTAATGAAAATCCAATACATGTTTGTCATGGAATTTGCCAAGTTGACTTTAAAATTCACATGGAAGAAAAAAATAGAAGAATTGGCATCTGAATTTTGAAAAATAATAGGGGGAATTGCCATACCAGATCTCATAAATATTAACATATTACAAAATTATAATTTTTAAAGTATCATTAATTGATTCCATGGGGATACAATCATCAAAATCCAGTTGGGACAACTGGACAACAAAAAGACAAAAGATATAGTTTTTTCAAAAAAATAAACAGAAAAAAACAAGCAAAATACAGCAAGAGTAGAGTTTTTTGGTTTGTTTTTGTTTTTCAATATTTCTAGAGATACATATAGAAATGGTGAGGATGAAACAACTCTAGAATTTGCTTCAAAATAATCTGGAGTATGCCAAGAAGAGAAGATGGGAGTATAGCTGAAACAAGCTTAGCCACAAATTGATAATTGTTAAAATTGAGTAACAGGAGGTTTTCCCTAGTGGTCCAGTGGCTGAAGACTCCATGCTCCCAATGCAGGGACCCCAGTTCAATCCCTGGTAAGGGAACTAGATCCCACATGCCACAACTAAAGATGCCGCATGCTGCAATGAAGATCAAAGATCCCATTTGCCCCGACTAACACCTAGTGCAGCCAAATAAATAAATAAAACATTTTTTAAAAACCTGACTGACAGGTTCATGATACATATAAACATGCATGCATGCGTGCTAAGTCATTTCATGCCTGATTCTTTGTGACCCAATGAACTATAGCCCACCAGGCCCCTCTGTCCATGGGAATTTCCAAGTTAAGAACACTGGAGTGGGTTGCCATGCCCTCCTCCAGGGGATCTTCCTGATCCAGGGCTGAAAGTTGCATCTCTTATGTCTCCTGCACTGGTGGGAGAGTTCTTTACCACTAGCAACACCTGGGAAGCCCACGTATATACATATTCAAACATATGTGCATTTGAAATTTTCCACAATTTTTTAAAGTAGGATACTGGCATAGAAATTTTTTTAACAACAACAAAAGATCAGTAGAAGAATTTAAGAGTGCAGACCCATGGATATCAGAATTTAGTAAATGCTGAGTAGAATTTCAAATCAGAGGGAACAAATACTGGATTTAGGACATTTGCTATTCATTTGGGGAAAATATTATGTTAGATTTTTATCCAATACTATTTACAAAAATGAATTTCAGATGAATTAAAACCCTAAAGATATAAAATAATTAAAAATTTTACAGCTTAAAAAAATGACATCATATAGGAAATCTTAAAGTAAGATAAAAGAAAAAAACTAAGACATAAAGGAAAAGACTGACCAAATCAAAACTTTAAAATTCTGTTTGACAAAAGAAAAACAAACAGGGGCTTCCCTCCTGGTCCAGTGGTTACGAATCCACTTGCCAGTGTAAGGGACACAGGTTCAATCCCTGGTCCAGGAACTAAGATCCCACATGCCTCAAGGCAACTAAACCCCACTGAGCTCAGGAGCTCTAAAGCCCCTGTTCAGCAACAAGAGAAGCCACGACAGTGAGAAGCCCTTGCACCACAACTAGAGAGGAGTAATGAAGACCCAACACAGCCATAAATAAATAAATAATAAAATTATTTTTTTAAAAAACAACAAAATCAAATATTTCCAACACAGCTAACAAAATGCAAACAAACAAACAAAACCCTCCTAAGAATCCGTGAGAAGAGGACAAAAGCTCAGTGGGGGTGGGAGTGGGAGGGAAGGCAATTTGTAGAAGAAGTAACAAAACTGGCCATTAAAGACATGAAAAGATGCTTGGTCTCAGCAGTAATGCTGAAATTTAATTTCAATTTTAATTAAACAAAGAAGTATTGTCTTTCACCCATCAGACTGACCAAAATTAAAAGTGTGATGGTATCAATAATTTACAAGGTAACTCAGAAGATGGAAGAATGGATAGGTTCAGCTGTTTTAAAGGGCAACTTGGCAACATCTATTTAAAATGTCAAACATGTGTGCCCTGCAACCTAGGACTTCTATTTCTAGATTTAGTTCCAAGAGACACACTTATCAACTTTCACATGAAGACACAGTCTCTGCAACATTTACTGAGTGCCTACTATGTCTCAGTCGCTGTGCTAAATGAGGGGATGCAGTAGTGAAAAGACAGACAAAAATCTCTGTCTTCAAGGAGCTGATACACTAGTGGAGAAGACAGACACTAAACAAGGTAAGTAAGTAAGCAAATGATAT